GCACTGTAGCTGCAAAAAATTAAAACGCAAAAATTGAAAACAGAGAGTTCAGATTCCATTATTAAATCCTCTAAAATTAGTGGTAGCTCAATACTTTCACAAAAAAAAAAAAAAAAAAACTCAGTCACACCATTACATATACTTGCTGTAAAAGACTTACCCCTGCTGGGCTGCAGCTTGGCTGTAGGTACTGTAATCTAGAGAAAACAAGCAGAGAAAAATCACATGAAATCAACAGATACAAAGAGAAGGGGGGAGGCATTCAGACTGCAGGATGATGAAGTTTTTAAATACTCAAGAGAGGGCAACAGCAAACTCCCTACCATAAAAAAGTAAAAAAAAAAAGTTAGATTCAAAGTCTGAACACATTGTCAGCCAAGACCAGCTGATTTGGCAGACACTTCCCCACAACCCTCCCTTAACCTCAGGGCCATAATGTCAAACAGATGACCATCCTAACATTGACAGAACTGTTTTACATCCAAATAAAAAGAATGCATGCAACACCACAGTATTTTCTATCAGGTTGGTTACATTATAGCTACTTCTCAACAACCAAATTTTGTGCCATACCAGCACTTAAGTGAGGGGCCAGAGTACAGCTGAAAGGGCATCTGACTTGCAGACAGTCACCAGGGTTAGATTCCCCCATCCCTGGCATCCCATATAGTCCCCTGAACACTACCTGGAGTAATTCCTGAGTACAGAGCCAGGAGTAACCCCTGAACATTGCCAGATGTGACTTAAAAAGCTTAAGAAAAAAAAAAGTTAGACCAATCACACTTCCCTAGCAAGACTCAAGAGTGAAATGGAATATAAATCATGTCAATCCAGTGTTTTAAAAGTGATTTGCAAACTATAAAAATAAATAAATAAAAGTGATTCGCAGGCCAGAGCAGGTAGGGTATTTGCCTTGCACATGGCCAACCTGGGCCCAGCATCCCATCTGGTCCCCCCAGCAATATCAGAAGTAATTCCTAGTGCAGAGCCAGAAATAACCCAGTGTCACCGGGCACGACCCAGATAGCATCCCCCCCTCCCCCGTCTAAAAAAAAAAAAGTGATTTGCTGATTGTATATGGGTTGTGGGTTATATTCATGAAACTACAAAATCTAACCAAATAAGCAGAAAAAGCATCTATTTTTTATTGGGGTTAATTTGGTCTTAGATGACACAATCTCTTTTTAAAACTCAAGAAGATCTCAATAAAATTCTGCCCCCCTTCCTTCTAGGTAAATTTTTACATTAAAATGGAACAAAAGGGGGCTAGAGAGAGTACAGTTAGTAGGGTGCTCGCACTGAACGCTGCTGGTGGCCTGCTGGTGGCCGGGCGGACCTCAACCTCTGTGGGATTCCCCAACGACACAGGGTCCCCAGAGCTCTGCCAGGAACCCTGAGAGGCAGAACCAGGAGTAACCCAGACCACAGCTGGGTGTAGCCCAACACCCCCCCAGGCAACAAAAGGGACCCCCTCCCACCAAAACCAAAACCCCTGGGGCTGGGAGGTGGCAATATGGCAGTAAAGTGCATTTGCCTTGAACACAGAACTAATGACCCTGGTTCACCCTGGTTAGACCCTCAGCATCCCATATGGTCCCTGAGCACTTCCAGGAGAGATTCCTGAGCGCAGAGTGAGAGTGGACGAGAGAAAGACCCAAACCCAGAGGTGTCAAGAAGTGCCTCTTTCTTTTCCAGTCAGAAAGTTGTTCCCAGTCTGACTTCAACAGTTGACAAAGCAACTCTTCAGAGAAATTCTACCCTAACTTCACTCAAACTCACTATACTTTTGCCAGGCCTAATTATTTTTGCTAGATTCAGCTGTTTAAAGTTGCTCCGTATTTTAATTGTATCAGTTACAAAGTTGTTCATGATGGGGTTTCAGTCAATGTTCCAACACCCACCCCTTCACCAATATACATACATTTCCCACCAGCAACTGTCCCCAGTTTTCCTCCCACAACCACCCCTCACAAGTTGCTTTATTTTTTCACTTCTCTGCACTCCTGTTCTTACCCCAGATCCCATTAACTTAGAACCCAAACCATCAATATTATCAAACCCACCACCTAAAAGCTATGCATACTAAACCGACTTGTTCAAGATACTTTCAAAATAAATAAGGTATTCATTATTAACCAATTTTTTTGGGGGGGTACACCCTTCAATACTCAGGGGTTACTCCTGACTCTGCACTCAAGGAATTAGTCCTGGCAGTGCTCAGGGCTTACTTCTGACTGCACTCAAGATTCACCTCTGGCAGGCTCGGAGAGCCAGAGCCACTGATCCAACCCGGGTCAGTCCTGTGCAAGGCATGCACCCTACCTAATCTACTATGGCTCCGGCCCTTAACCTACATTTTATTGAGGTTTCAAGGTGAGAAATTATTCTACGTTGCTGGTATGTTCATGTCTGCAAGGTCTTTTACACAAGAACAGTTATGTAAAACATAAAATTGGCACAGTTGATATGGAACAAGGAATGGTCTCAGATCAGTGTGAAACTAGAGGATTTAGCCCCTCACTGGCTGGTGAAGGGAGGTGTCACTGCTCTGTGGGCACTTATGCTTATCAACATATAAACTACAACATTAGAGTCTCAAAAATATGTTACACAAAGGTAAAATTTTTGCTTTTAACAATCCCAATGTACAGGTGCAGACTTCACTAAAAATACAAAACAGGTTGAAGACAGAGTAGGCCGTGATCCAGAGAATGTCCAGAATGTCAGCAGTTGTTTTTTTTTTTTGGGGGGGGGGTCAAAAGCAGAACGTGGGATGGAACCTGGGTTAGCCGTGTGCAAGACAGGCACCCAATAGCTGGTACCTTCTCTCAGGCCCTCTATTAACTTGAGCTGTCGTTACTTGGGGCTTTGCAAGCTAATTCTCTGTTAAAGTAAATATACACTGTACCTATAGAATATGAACGAGGGAAAAAAAAACTGGCTTCCAGATACTTCGGAGAGTCACTAAACAGATTCAAAGCTCAGGCTACATAAGCTCAAGTCACTCTAAGGCAACTTTATGTGATCCAGAGTATTTTACGTCGGGGGCGGGAGATCACTGGCACAGCGGAAAGGTGCTAGCTTTGCATGCGGCAGACCCGGGTTCCATCCCCGGCACCACATGGTCCGAAGAACTCCTGAGCACGCCGGGTGCGGCTCCCTACCCCCAAATCTTGTCGAACTCCTCCATTCTGAAGCCAACAGTAAGCCAAAGTCCACGCAAGCCCCGCGCTCCCCCTGGCCCCGCCCGGCCCGGCCCCGCGCCTACCTACACATGCCCGCATTCTAACACTGGAACGTGGTCACCCGCAGAGGTTAAGCAAAAGCAGAAGGAAAAAGAAAAAAAAAAGGAAAAAAAAAGAAAAAAGGCGCAAACCGGGCCTGTCCACCCCGCAGAGCCGGCCTCGCACACCTGCGGGGCAGCCGCGGCCTGGAGGAATCCCTCTCCCCGGGGCAAAGCCTCGGACGGGGCCTGCGTCGAGGCCCAACCCGGGGAAGCCGAACGCTCAGGCGGCCGCGTCTGGAACCCTCGACGCCCCCGGCCCGCCCCCCGCCCCGAGCGCCGCGCCTCGGCCCTGCCCGGCCCCTTCCCGCCTCTGACCCGCGGCCCGGAGTGCGCGCCCCCGGCCGGGCCGGGGGGGCGGGGCGGGAGGCAGGTGAGGGACCCCCCCCAGCCAACCGAACCCCGCCGGCCGCGGGGCCCCATTCAGAGCCCGGGCGGCGGCCTTTTGTCTCTCGGGGGCGCGGGGGCCACGCGTGGCTCCCGCGGGGGGGGGGTCTGGCCTCGCGGCGGCCCGATTACACAACGGCTCCCCCTTCCGCGGCCGCGGCGAACAAAACGGCCGCCGAACCCGCTTTTAATTGCCTTCGCGGTGGGGGAGGGGGCGAGGAAGGGGGAAACCGCCGGGGGAGCCGCCGGTTGTGTGTGTGTGTGTGGGGGGGGGGGTCACAGCGTCACGTTCCGGCTGCGGCCCGGTGGGCCCCAGGTTCGGCTCCGGCCCTCACGGCGACGCGGCGCCCGCCGGCCCCGAAACCCGCGACGTCTCCGGCAGGGGCGATTAAAATGCCCTTTTTGTTGTGTGTGCGTGCGCGTGTGTGTGTTTTCCCCCGTTCGCTGCTCCCCTCCCCCGCCTCGGGCGTCTCCGGGAGGCGGTCGCGGCCCCCTCCCCCAGCCTCCCGCGCCGCGGCGCCGCGCTCCGGACCCGGCCCGAGGCTCCCCCGCCCGCCCGCCCGCCCGCCCGCGCCGCCGTCACGCGGGGCCCCCGAGGCCGCAGGCCCCGCCCACGTGGCGGGCGGCCCGGAGCGCGGGGCCCGCGGGCCGCCACACAATGGGGACGGCGGCCCGGGCCGCGCGCCCCCGCCGCGGCCCCCCGCGCGCCCGAAGGTTCCAGAACCGGCCTGCCGCGGGGGGAGGGGCGCGGGGCCGGCCGGCGCCCGCCCGCCCGCCCGCCCAGCGGCCGGCCCGCGCGGGGCCCTCTCCCGCGTCTCGGCCGCGCCACTCGGTCGCCGCGGCCATCCCCCGCGGCCCCGAGGGGCGAGCGGCCCCCCAGCGGGGGCCGGGGCGGCCGGGCGGCCGGGCCGCGGCCGGCGCCACCGCGGTTCCACCACACTCACCCGTGGACGCCATTTTCTCTCCTTCCCTCTCGTTCTCTCAACGTCCGTCTCCCTCGCTTGCCTTCTACGCGCCGCACTGCGCAGGCGCGCAGCCCGCAACCTCGGGCGCGACCATCGCGCGCGGGCGGCGGGGGGGGCGCGGGCGCGGCGCGGCCGCCGCGGCCCCGGCCCCTCCCGGGGGGCGCCGCACGCGACGCGCGGGGCCGAAACGGCGCCGGGGGGAGATGGGGCGGCCCCGGGGCCGGCGGGCCGGCGCGGGCCGGCGCGTCGAGCGGGGGCGCCGGTGCGCGCGAGGCTCGCGGCGCGGCCGAATGGTTACGTCCGCCGGCTCCAGGGACCGTCGCCAAAGAGTCCGCCTCGGAGGGAGACGGAGACGGAGGCGGGCGGGAGCGCGGCGCGGAGGGGCGGGGGGCGGGGAAGGGGCGCGGGCCCCGCACAACTGCTGAGTAATCGGCGGGGGAGGGGGGCGCGGCGGCCCCCCCCGGGCCCGGCTCACGCGCCCGGCGGCGTGCGCGATGGATGCGGGGCGCTCGGGCCTCGGCAGGAAGCGAGAGTCCCCACTTCCACCCCGGGGCCCCGCCCGGCCGTCCGGGGGCGGGGGGGCGCGCTCCGCAGTGAGTACCCTGGGCCCCTGGGCTCGGGCCGGCGGCGGCGGCGGCGGCGGGGCCCCGAGGTCGGGGTCGGCTGGACCGGAGGACCCCCCGTTCCCCCCAGATCCCTCAGTAACGGTCGAGGTCGAGGAAGGCCTTTTCATCCTCTTCCCCTCCCCCCACCCGATATCCGGGTTTTTTCCGGAGGCGAAACCAGCCCCCCCCCCCCGAAGAATTTGGGGCCGGTTCCTAAAGTCACCAGGCGGAATCCACCCCGCCGCCTCGGGGCCCCACTTTCTCCACTTCTGGGACGCCTCTCGGACGCCTTCCCCACCCCTGCCCTTGTGTCCTCCTCCTGCCCTCCGGGCTCCCCCGCCGCGTAGCAGCAGGGCCTGCTGGTGCACGGGCCGCGCTTTAGAGGAGACCGAGGCCCCGGGTGCCAGTCCTGGATGAGTTTGTCCACGCACCAGCCTTTCACCCTAGCTCGGCGGTGAGGGATGCGATGGTTGTGAGGCTGGCCTCGCAGAGACGGCCGCCTGTCCACCTTTCGGGACCCAACGCATTAGGCATCCCAGCCCCCGCGACCACCGGCAGGGCCCAGTGGGACCTGGAGCCACGCTTGTGTCTCTGAATGAGCACCCGGAGCTGGGAGCACTGGGCCCCTTCCCCCTGCTCTGAGCACTTCCCGGTGCTGAAACACCTGGACCTCAAGGTCCAGAGTAGTGCCCGGTACTCATAAACCAGGAATAAGGGCCGTGCCGTGAGGGCCCACTAGACGCGAGGGGGCTTTGAGGCTGGGTTCTGGAGGCTGAGTAGGAGCTGGTCTCTTGGAAAGTTGGAGGGAAGGAGCAGCAGAGGAACTTTCTAGAGTTTTTCTGCTAGAAACCGGCAAATGGATTTCAGGCCGTTGGCAAGGAAGCAAGCGGATGAAGGTGGCCTTCTTGTCCCTCTGGAATCCTGCATCCTGCCCAGTGGAATCAGCTCAGTGGGATGCGTTTGCAAGGATGTCTGTGTGTGTGTGTCCAGCAGGGCCAGGAGTGAGGCTGGACACGGCGCTGAGGAGAATGGCGATTTTACCTAGGCTCCATATTGAGGCCTCCTCGGGGCAGCTGGTTGCTACTCCGCCTCCCACAGTCAGTGGAGATGCTCTTTCATTACCAAAAATATATATGTATTTTTTTGATGGGGGGGTATTCTCAACAGTGTTCAGGGATCACTCCTGGCATGCCTAGGGAATCGTATGTGATGCCAGGGATCTAACCGGAGTCAGCCAGCATGCAAAGCACACTGTATTATCTCTCCAGCCCCAGAGATGCTCCTTTATTGAGACTCCGTGAACCCGGCTCTGACCCATTCCTCTTGCTCAGCACCCCGTGGAGAAAGGATGCTTTCATTCATCTTTTATTTGTTTGTTGTGCCTTGGATTGAACTCAAGGTCACAAGTGTACATGACTTGTGCTCCCCGACTATGCTTCCTTCCCAGGCCAGAAAGGATGTTTTTAATCCCAGTTTTACCCAGGAGGAAGGAGAGACTCAAAGGTTGGGAAACTTGCCCAGGAGTACACAGTAGGAAGAAGAGGACTAGGTACCAGAAGCTTCCCGTAGAAAGGGTTAGGGCCAGACGGGGTGTGTTCGGACTGGAGGAAGGCCTTGTCTCTGTCCACTGTGACTGTGTTTGGGTGCGGGATGCCCTGCTGCCCTTCCTGCAGCCTCTCACCCTTTCACCCCTGCAGTCTGCCTGTGCCCTGGCTCACCTTGTCTCCGGGGTCATCTGGAATTCTCAGGCTGGGCCAGTGGAGGGGAGGTAGGAGGAAGCTGACCCTTCTGCAGCCCAAAGGAAGAGAGGGATAGAGATGCCCTGGAATTTTCCACGAGGAACTGGAGGGCAAGGGGTGGGCCTGGACCACTCTAGTGAGGAATCCAGGGCTGCAGTTCAATTTCTCTTGCCCTCAGGGAGATAGTTCTAAGGGCTGGAGTGCCTGGAGCTTATGCGCTTCCAGTTGGATCCCTAGCACTGCATGGACCCCCAAACACCGCTGGGCATAGCTTTGGTGGCCCCCAGCACTTTCAGGGGTGGGGGAGTGGTGCCCAGCACTGGGGGACCTAGGCCAGCACTGCTTTGCAGGTACCCGCCAGGCCAGGCCCCTCAGCTGCCCATTCATAGTAGAAGGAGGGCTCAGGTTGGGTCTGAACTCTGACCCAGCTGCTGGGTGCCCCTCTGCGGCCTGTTTCTGTGCCCGGGAGCCAGGGAGATGAGATGGAGAGCACCTGCTTTGCATACAGGAGGGATGGTTGGGAGGGATGGTTTCTATCTGAGCACCCCCACAGTCTCTCTAGCGTTGGGTGTGACTCTCCCCCCACCCCCAGTATGGAGCCGGAAGTAGCCTGAGCAGAGCTGGGTGTGGCCCCAAAGCCAAAAAAATAAAAACTAAAATGGAGCTGTTGCTTCTAGCGTTTTTTTTTTTTCAACAGGAAGTGGGATAAAAAAAAACCCACAATGATAACTAGTGTTTTGTTTCCCTTTACCTTCTAGCACACAACCCCAAGACCTCCCTTGAACAGCTTCTTCAGCCAAGCTATGCACGCCAGAGGCCCCACAGGCCTGCGGTCCCCGGCCCTGCCCCTGGCATCCTCAGTCCTGATGCTGCTGCTGAGTAGCCTCTGGCTGATGGGAGCTGGCCCTAGCCTCGCCCTAGCCCCGGAGCTGCTGCTGAACCCCTGGCAAGGTGTGGGCCCGCCACCTGGGCCCGGGAGCAGGCAGCCGCCTGGCTGGGGGGGACCGGAGAGCAGTAGGCAGGAGTGGTATTCAGCAGGGATGGACCCGGTGCCCTGGGGGGAGGTTGGCTTTGGGTGTTTGCAAGCCTCAAGGTGCAGGCACAGCGCTGGGAGGGCAGAGGACAAGGGGGAGGGACCAGCAGAGGGGGCGGAGCCTGCAACGAGGAAGTCTCTCTGTCCAGTGCCGTGCTGGGAGGAGGCCCGGGTTTGAATGAGCCCCGCCCAGCAGGAGCGTCTATCAGCCAATCAAAAGAGCAACTCCCGTTTAAATTGGGGATTCCTTTGATGCACAGAGAGGTGAAGTGAATAACTGAGTGACTAATAGAGGTCCCGCTGCCCCACCGGGAGGAGGTGGTCTCAGTGTCCCCCAGAGTGCTTCAGAGTTGGTCGCTCTGGGGAAGATTGAGTGGTGGGTCAGGCTTCCTGTTTTCACAGAGCAGGGGAGCACCGCTGGAGGCCCCTGCACTAGTGAATCCAGTTCTGGCAGAGGGTAGTTTGGGGCTGCAAAAAAGGAAGGAGTGATAGCACAGCGGGTAGAGCGTTTTCTTTGTGCATGGCCGACCTGGGTTTGATTCCTGGCGTCCCATGTGGTCCGCCGAGCACCGCCAGGAAATTCCTGAGTGCAAAGCCAGAAATAACCTCTGTGCATTGCTGGGTGTGACACCCCCCCCCCAAAAAAAAGGAAAGGATGACTGAGTGAGGTGGGCACAGTAGGGGGGCCTCTGGGTTGAGCCCTGGGCCCATGCCCCCGGCACATCGAGCCTTTCTCTTTCCCAGTTCACAGGCTGCTGACCCACGCCCTGGGCCACACGGCTCTCCCTGGACTGCTCCTGAGCCTGCTGCTCCTGCCCACGCTGGGCTGGCGGCAGGAGCACCGCCTGGGCACGCTGCGCTTCCTGCACGCCTCTGCCCTGCTCTCCTTGGTCGCAGGGCTGCTGGCCGTGCTGCTAGCGGGCCTTGGGGTGTCGAGCGCCGCTGGGGGCTGCGGCTACATGCCTGTCCACCTGGCCATGCTGGCCGGGCAGGGCACCCGCCCTAGACGGCCGCACGGGCCCCTGCCCCCGTACCTGCTGCCCTGGCTGCTGCTGCTCCTGACGCCACTGCTCAGCTCTGAGCCACCCTTCCTGCAGCTCCTCTGTGGCCTCGTCGCCGGTCTGGCCTGTATCCTTTGCCGGCTGGGTGGCTTCTGTGGCCGGGCGCCTTGGCCGGGCTCCGGGTGGGACAGGGTGGGGTGGAGGTGGGGGGCTGCTCGCCAGGCGAAGGTGCCAATCAGGTTGTTTGGGTTTGGGGGGCTGGAGCGATAGCAGGCGGGTAGGGCGTTTGTCTTGCACGTGCCGACCCGGGTTCGATTCCCAGCATCCCATATGGTCCCCTGAGCACCGCCAGGAGTGACTCCTGAGTGCAGAGCCAGGAGTAATCCCTGAGCATCACCAGGTATGACTCAAAAAGCAAAAAAAAAAAAAAAAATTCTAGGGGTAATTCTTGAATACAGAGCCAAAAGAAACTCCTAAGTATCACTGGGTGTGGCCCCCAAACAAAAGTAAAGTAAAGTAAAAGTAAAGGCCCTCCCGTTGATCATCGATTTGCTCGAGCGGGCGGGCCCAGTAACGTCTCCATTGGAGACTTTGTTGTTACTGTGTCTGGCATATCGAATACTCTCGGTAGCTTGCCGGGCTCTCCGAGAGGGGCGGAGGAATCGAACTCGGGTCGGCCATGTTGGCCGCTTGTAAGGCGAACGCCCTACCCGCTGTGCTATCGCTCCAGCCCCCCCAAACAAAAAAAAATTATAAAAAAAAAGTTTGGGTTTGGGGGTCACAGCTGGCGAATACTCAGAATACTCAGGACTCTGTACTCAGGAATCACTCCTGGCCGTGCTCTGGGGACCCTAAGGGGACGCTGGTCGGCCACATGCAAGGCAAGCGCCCTGCCCTCTATAGTATTGCTGTGGCCCCCAGGGTACCAGTCCGTTTAAGGGGACCGTGGGGCTCACGGAGGCACCTCACTTGGACCCTTCCCACTGGAGCCTGGTGTCCTGGCAGAAAACACGGGGATAAGAGGTTCAGGTGAAGGGAAGGGAAAAAGAGTGGGACGGGCAGAAGGCACAGGAAGTGCCACGGCCCAGGCAAGAAGGAAGCTGGGGCGTTCTGGGTGCTGGATTGTGTGGCTCTTGCTGCAAAGATGCTGAGTGCCTGGGGAGAGAACAGGACCCTACTGGCCCCATGCTTGGGTAGGATCGGGCACCAGGTCCAGTCCTCGTACTGGCCAAGGGCACTCACTGGGGGGGAGCAGTGGCAGGAATGGGGTAAGGCCAGTCCAGCTGAGCAGCTTTGGACCTGCAGCCTCTCGCACAGGCCCTGTTCTCTCTCTCTGATGTCCTGTCCCCCTGGGGGCCAGAGTGGGGCGCCGGGGCCTGGCTGACCCACTCCCTCTAGCTGGCCGTGCCTTTCCTTAACCAGCTGCCCTGCCCGGGCAGCCAGACGCCGCCGGGGCCTTCCAGTGGCTGGAGCTGTCCGAGTGGCGGCTGCAGGCGCTGCAGGAGGGCGTCGTGTGCAAGACCCTGGCGGGCGGCTGGCCCCTCCGACTCCTTCCCACCCCTGGCACCCCGACGGAGCTGCCAGTCACCCATCCTGCCAGAGTGAGGTGAGGATGCCTCATGGGAACACTGGCCCTGGCCGGGGAATGTGTGGCTGTGGCAGATGGTTCAGGCCCCCTCTGCTTCTGCAGGCCTCCATCCCCCGGACCACCTTCCCGGAGCTTCTGGCCCCACAGCGGAGTCTCAGCCCCGTTTCCCCCAGGGCTTGGGCCGGTGCAGCCCGCCTGGGGGGACCCTTCGGAGGGCCTGGCCTGGGCCGGGAGTCCACTCTGGGCCGCCCTGGATGAGCAGATGCTTCAAGAGGGGATCCAGGCCTCCCTGCTGGAGGCACCGCCCCCAGGGCCTGAGAGCCCCTTCTGGCTGCCCAAGTCGTCTGTCTCCTCCCTGCGGTAAGGGGGCCGGGGAGGTGCAGCGCGGGTCCCCCCTGGGGAGGTGCTGGAGGTGGCCCTGACCTCCCGGCTCTCCTCCCCCAGGCTGCAGCAGCTGGAGCACATGGGCTTCCCCACGGAGCAGGCTGTGGTGGCCCTGGCAGCCACAGGGCGCGTGGAGGGCGCCGTGTCACTGCTGGTCGGGGGGCAGGTGGGCGCGGAGGCCCTGGTCACTGAAGCAAAGCGAGGCCCTGCCCACCCTGAGGGCCCTGGGCCCCCGAGCACAGACAGGTGACTAGAAGCCTGCAGAGTGGAGCCCACGTCCAGACCGGGTACCCTGGCGGGGAGGGGGGTGCTCCCTGACTGGTGCAGTGGGGCTCAGGGGCCCCCACCCGTGATATTGTTTAGAATAAACACATTCACTTTGGAATCGGCCCTTCTGGGGCCAGTCTGGTGTCTCGTGTGTGGCTGGGGTGGGACAGGAGGATGAGCAGAGCAGAGCCATGTGTCTCCCGGGGATCCCCCCCAACCGGGGAGCACTCTGCATTGTTACCTCCCCACTACCGCCACCGTCGGGCCCCTGGCAGGAAGCAGTGGCTGGGAGTGTGATGGGGGGATGCGCTTCCTCAACTTTGATGTCAGAGGGTTGTGAAACCCCTCACAGCCCACCTTGCTCCGCCCCACATCCAGGCCTGGGCTTGGAGGTGAGGGAACAGAAGCCTGCTGGGGGCGGGGGTAGCACCGGAGCACCTCCTGGGGGAGTCAGGGCACGCTCTTTGCTCTTCCCTGCTAGGTGGGCTGGACCCCAGGCAAAAGGGGGGCTGGGGGCCTGGAGGGGCCAGATTCTTGCTGCTCAGGTGGTCCCCGCCACGGGTTGGGTTGGGGAAATGCAGACCACACCCCCAGCCCCCTTTCCCAGGCCTGTGAATGGAGGCCCAGCGAGGGGACCCCCGGAGGTGGGGGACCTCTTTGCTTCCCTGAAGCCTTTCTTTGCAGGTAGGAGGTTCGGCCACCGCCAGACCCTTGGCGGTGTCAGCCCAGACCCGGCAGGGGCAAGCCACCCCCGTGTGGCCTCAGCCTTGGCGAGCGGACGCCCCATCTATGCAGAGACCACGCTGGTGGCAGTTGGGCTGGGGTGCCTTTATTGTTTGGGACACGGTCCCCTCCCTGTGACAGTCACAAGCATTTGTGGGAGCGGGCGGGCCCTCCCTCTCCGTGTCTCCGCTCAGGGCACTGGAGGGGCTCGGGGCTCAGGGGGCAGAACCAGAAATCCCTGAGGGGGTTCAATGAGCTCAGGTTCAGGAACCCAACACCAGAAGAAAGGGGAGGAGGGGGAGGCGCCCCGAGTCTGGCGGGGAGGCAGGAGGCAGCCCCGATGTATGCTGCAGGCCAGTAGGGCCCTGGGGCTGATGAGCAAACTTCGACCCTGCAGACTGCCTCAGCCCGGCTCAGGGGGACCCAGGCGGGGCCCCGCGCTTGTCCCTGGGGCTGCCTCCCGGTCAGGCCCCGAGGATGCAGAGGCCGATGGGCACCACGGGAGAGGACCACAATCTGTCCACCCCATAGGCTGAGCTGGCGGGAGGAACCCTGAGGACGTTAATAAATATTAAGGGCAGTTTCCAGAGGCCACTGGCCAGGCCCAGGTCAGGAAGGGCAGCTCGGCCGGGCCCACCTGGTGGGGGGACACCGCTGCTCTCAGCCCCTCTCGTTGCGACTCCGGGGGGCCACGATCCTGTAGTTGGCAGCATGTCCTCCCCTCTTGGCCCGTAGGAGGCTGGGGGTACCCGTGCCGGCCGGGCCTGCCCCTGACCCCTCTGGTTCTGCCGGAGGGAAGGAGAAAGGTGAAGTCAGTGAGGTCCTTGAGTGCAAGGGCCCCGCACCATGCCTTGGTGGCAGCCTGGTGACCGTGCTGGCCAGCAGAGCATCGAGCAAGGGGTGCCCTGCCAGCTGGCTCCCGCCTTCCCCAGCGCAAGGGGCGCAGGGCCTGTTGGGTTTTCCGTCAGGGGGAGATGAACCCACTTTTTTTGTTTCTTGGGCCACACACAGTGATGCTCAGCGGTTACTCCTGGCACTGCACTCAGGAATTAACTCCTGGTGGTGCTCAGGGAATCGTATGGGATGCCGGGGATGGAACCCAGGTCAAGCACGTGCAAAGTCCCTCCTCACTGTGCTATTGCTCCAGCCCAGGCCATCGTATTTCTGAAGCTTTTAACATGTTCGGAACATGAGAAGTGCAGTTCTTTGTCGCCGTCCACATTTTGGGCTGGAGGTATATGCGGAATCATTCCCATTTCAGAGCTGGGTAAAGCAAGGTCAGGGGACAGACTCTTCCTCTCTCCTTGGGTTAGGTCACTTGTGAGTTAAGGAGGGCTGATCGCTACCACCGACCATGTGTGTTTGGACAAGTCAGATCTCTGCTGGGCCTCAGCTGTCTCCTCTCTGGAACTAAGTGGGCAGTCCCCTCCAACTCTAGTAATTACATAAGTCAGTTCCAGTTTGGCTATATGGGACTGAATCACAGGGCATATCGCCACCTGAAAAACTCCTATTCATCCTTCGAAACCCAGGGGAGGGCCTGCCTCCTCTGGGAAGCCTGTGACTATCACTGCAGCTGTTCTCAAAGTTAAACAAGCAGGTCAGGTCAGGTGAGGCTGTGCTGCATTTCCAGGCAGAGGGGGACACTGAGAGGGGACAGCCCGAACCCTGAGCATCTGGATAAGGGCTTCACTGAGCTCCCCAGCCCTGTTCACAGGACAGATGCTCGGACTCTAGGGGTACCAGCTTCCCACTGAGGGAACTGCAGGGGACCTGGATATGTCCTCTGGCAGCGTATCCCAGACTGAGATGTGGGGCCATAGAGCAGACACACACTGACAGTCAAGGAACATTTCTTTTGTGGTTTGGGGGGCCACACCCAGCGGTGCTCAGGGCTCACTCCTGACTCTGCACTCAGGAATTCCTCCTGGCAGGCTTGGGGGATGGGATGCACCCGGATAGACCGTGTGCAAGGCAAACACCCATCACGCTGTCCTATCACTCCAGCCCCTCAATGAACATTTCTTGCCTGGAATCAGGGAAAGCAGGAGCCCAGGGTCCAGCATCAGCGAGTCGAGTCCTGGCTCTGGGTGGCCCAGTTACCCAGCCTTGGGCACATCCCCAAACCCTGAGCATCCAAGAATCCAAGAACGGAAGACAGTTGTCACCGAAACAGCGAGGGAGGAACAGACACCCGGCTGAGGTGCTTTTGACTGGATCAGAGCTGGTCTGTGGTGCTATTCAAACACCATCAGGTTGTGGACCTTGATTTCTCTGGGTCCCTCTGTGCATTGGCTTATGAAACGTAAGGATGACACACCAATGGTGGCTCGAGCCTCTGACTCCCAGGGAGTTGTCGGGCTGCTCTTGACCCTGGGTCTCCTCTTGTTGGGCCTCGTTTCACCTACCTGGCGGGCTTGTTGTGAGGACGGCGTGATGAAGGTCACCCCCCTACACAGGGGCCAGTGTGCATGCAAAAGTTTGCCTGCTATTGTGAACAATGGCCCAGTGTGGAATGTTCCATTTTCTTCTCTGACACTGCTGCCCCTGCCTCCCCCATACAGTGTCCATTTCCACACCCCCCACCTGGCCTGTGGGCCACCAGCCTGCTGGTAAAGCAGAGCAAGGTGTATTTTCCCTGAGAGGAGAGGGCCTGGTCGGGGTACCGACGCAAGGCTGGCTCCAGGGGCCTGAATGGGTCCCTCTAGCTCCTGGGGACAGTAAGGGACACATGAAAGAGCACTGTCCCTCAGCGGCGGTCCTGGGTCTCCTCACTGAGAGGGAGGGGCCTGGGAGATGTCCTGGCACTGGGTAGGAGAGCCAGCATGAGGAATGAACCCCGAACACTGCGTGCTGGAGGGGCGGGGGAAACTTCCAGAAAACTCCTGAGACCTACGAGGGAAAGTGACGCTTCTGTTTTTTTTTTTTTTTTTTTTTTGGGTCACACCCGGCGATGCACAGGGCTTCCTCCTGGCTCATGCACTCAGGAATTACTCCTGGCGGTGCTCGGGGAACCATATGGGATGCTGGGAATCGAACCCGGGTCGGCTGTTTGCAAGGCAAATGCCCTACCCGCTGTGCTATTGCTCCAGCCCTGAAGTGACTCTTCTTGCCTACTTCCTTTAGTCCCGGCTTGCCCAATGTGGGTGACACCCCGTCCTCTCTAGGGAGGCACAGGATGGTTCATGGGGGGCTGTGGTAAACTTGGGTGCCATTGGAGGTTTTTTCTTAATAAAGGTAGGTTTTTTGTTTTTTTTTCCCTGCAGAAGGGAGTGGCAAGCAAGTTTTGTAACCTTTGTTATCCCGAGGCCCTGCTACTATGCAGGCTGACAGGCTGAGCCCCCCTTCACTCGGGCCGCTCCCCCAGGAAAAGACCCCTGGACCCGCCCTCTCACACCTGCCCTGAAGCTTGGGAACAGGGCGCAGGGTTGGCTCTAGCCTTGGTCGGTTCTAGGTGGTCCTCAGTTTTCCCTTGTGTAAAATAGATTCAAGGGTACTGCTGTGACCTCAGTGAGGAGGTGAGGGAGGAATGGGGCTAGAGATCCCTTTCTCTTTCGAAGACTGGCCTCAGGTTCTGCACCCCTCTCCCCAGCCCCCCTAGTGGAGCCAGGAACAGGAACAGTACTGCCCTTGCCCCTGCTTGGGTTTAACCTGTATTTTTTTTTTCTTTTTGGGTCACACCTTGGCGATGCTCAGGGTTCCTCCTGGCTCTGCACTCAGGAATCACTCCTGGCGGTGCTCGGGGGACCATATGGGATGCTGGGACTCGAACCCGGGTCGGATGCCTGCAAGGCAAATGCCCTACCCGCTGTGCTATTGCTCCAGCCCCTGACCTGTACTCGTGCAGACCTTCTCACGCTGAGTGGAGCCCAACAGTCTCTTCTCCGTGACCTTGCAGAACCCTCCCTCGAGGTTCTCTCTGGCCTCTTGGCTTAGCCCCTGCTCTCCTTTGCAGAGGTCACGGCCACTGATAGGGCACCTCTTCCGGGAGGTCCTCCCACCTCCCTCAGACTGTCCAGGACGACCTTGTGCTCTCCTGGCTGCCCTTCCTCCATCGTTGTACTCCTTTGCCTCGGTCTAACGGCCGGTTCCATGACTTGGGCTTGTCCCTAGCGCCCCACGACCCTAAGCCCTGGAGGGCGGGCCTGTCGGATCCCTGTGCAAGGGCCTGGGCCGAGCAGGAGCTCCTCCCTCGCCGCCTGGTGCCGTCTGTGCCCGGCGGGAGGGACTGGGAGCAAATGTGTCCGCTGGCCTGGGACAGGGGCCTGCGTTGGGAGGCGCCCGGGTGTCCCTGGCCTTTCCCAGGCCCTCTGCCCACCCTGTCATACCTGGCCAGATGATGGCTTCCAGCAGGCTGACCCGTCTGGCCAGGAGCTCCAGCTGGGCCTGCTGCTGCAGGCAGCTCTGTAAGCTAGGAGCCTGATGGGAGATCGAGAAGAGCACACGGTGCGAGTCCGGCCTCCAGGGGCGCGGGGGGCCGGGGGGCTCAGGGCCGCGGCCTGGACGTGGGACTCGGTCGAGACCTCGGTCTCCTCCATGGGGACAAGGCTTGACTCAAGCGGACAGATGGGCAGAAAATTGGTAGGTGAAGGCCTGGGGTGAGGGTCTCGCTCAGGCCCCCAAAGAGACCCACAGAGCAGGTTCGGAGGACCAGAAGGAGAACTGTGACTTTAGGAGAGGGTCACCTGAGCCAGGCAGGACGTGCCCTGTGAGGACCCGTGAGGGCTAACGGGAGATGGAAGCCTCAGCGTTGGTGGGAACTGTCTGACCCAGAGGGCCCGGGGCCTGGCCCTGGCTCCGTCACCCGCGTGCCCCTGTATTTGTGGGGTGGAGGTTGGCTCTGTTACTCCTGATTTCTCTACGGCCAAGGCCTGACTCGAAGCAGGACTCACCTATGATCGTGTGGGCTGGGCGCTGGTTCTGTTACCCACAATCCCCTGCATAGCTACACTCTAGCCCCACGACCCACCCCCTGGCTGGTCTCGGGTTTGGCCCAGTTTCATTCAAACTCAAAACCTGTTCCTTCTGGCGGCCCCTGCGGGCCTGGAAACCACATCACCCACAATGCCCAGAGGCCCAGGTCTGCCCCCAGACGTGGAGGCCTCCTGAGGGCCCCTCTTGACGTCTGAGGAGGGACCAGTCCATGAGGGATGGGTGGCGGTGGCCAGCTGGGGTGTGGGAGGACACGTCCAGCCTCTGCCCATGCAGGGCTCGAGGAAAGCTAGCAGGCAGGGGCTGGTCTGTCTGTCCATCTGTCTGTCTCTACTCACCATAGAGCCCAATCATTGTTTCCAAGATTAAAACCCTCTCAGCTAAAATCTTCAAAGCCTCGCGGAGTTGGTGCAACCCCTCCCCCTGTGGAGGAAAGAGACAGATGCAGCCGTGAAGGGGGCCAGGGAAAGGGGCCCTGCGAAGCCCACTGGGGGCCCATGCCTCACCCCAGACATGCCCCTGCAGCCCACAACGCCTGCCACGCGCAGCCCAGGGCCCAGGACAGGAGGGAGATCAGGCAGGCAGAAGCGGCCCCTTGCTCATTGACCAGATGCTACTGGCCGCTCTCTCCCCAGACCCCTGCATGTGACGCCACCCCCAGCTAGGGGACACCTGCCGTCGACTCCGCCCTAGAGGCCCCACTCTTATTCTCTGGGGTCTGACCCCACTTACGCTCACTTGCACCTCATTTCCTTCTTAGGTTTTCTTTCTGCACCTTTCCCGGGACACTGGCTTACACCCTGCGGGCTCGCAGACGTTCGGTTGAGGCTCCAAGGGGTCACACCAGTGTGGAGGGCGCTGCTGGGAGAGTTCTGAGCCTCTTCCCTGCAGCCCGGTCACTGCTAAACCACATCCCCAGGCCTGAGTATTTTTTTCTTTTTTTGTGGGGTTGAGGGTTCGGACCACAGCTGGCTCTGTGCTCAGGACTGACCCCTGGCCGTGCTTGGGGAACCATGTGCAATGCCAATGATGGAACCAGGAATCTCTCAGGCCCCTTTCTTTTTTCGCTTTTTGGGTCACACCCGGCGATGCTCAGGGGTTACTCCTGGCTTTGCATTCAGGAATCACCCCTGGCGGTGCTCAGGGGACCATATGGGATGCTGGGAATCGAACTCGGGTTGGTCGCGTGTAAGGCAAACGCCCTACCCTCTGTGCTATTGCTCCAGCCCCAGGCCCCATATTCTTGACACTGACTCACCTTTTGCCTTAAACCCCACTCTAATTCTTTTTTTTTTTTTTTTGCTTTTTGGGTCACACCCGGCGATGCTCAGGGGTTACTCCTGGCTCTACACTCAGGAATGACTCCTGGCGGTGCCCGCGGGACCATATGGGATGCTGGGAATCGAACCTGGGTCGGCCGTGTGCAAGGGCAAACGCCCTACCCGCTGTGCTATCACTCCAGCCCCAACCCCACTCTAATTCTTCTTACCCTTATTAACTCTATTGGTGCCCTCTGGCTACTTCCTGATACTATTTACAATCCCATCAAAATGAATATATTCGTGGGTCCCCTGATAGTACAGTGGCTAGGGTGTTTGCCTTGCACGTGGCCAACCCGGGTTCAATCTGGGCCATCCCATATGGTCCCCTGAGCACTGCCAGGAGTGATCCTTGAGTGCAGAGTCAGGAGTAGACCTGAGCACTGTCGGGTGTGGCCCCCAAACTAACAGAAAGGAATATATGTCTGTGTCAAAATGAGACCATGTTTGAATGGCATCGCCTCTGGGGAGCTGTGCTTAAAATGCTGGCTAGGAGTGTGGTTCAGCACACACACACACACACACACACACACACACCCCTTGTAAGGGGCGAGGTACAGGCTTTGCTGCAGGAAGTCTGGGTTTAATCCATGGTACTGCATGTTGCCCTGAGCACGCCAGGGACCCCCAAGCACTGAGCCAGGGGCAGCCTCAAGCAGTGCTGGCTGCATAACTCTCCCTTGCAACCCCCAAAGAAAAGGCACACTCCAGTTTGGAAGTGCATTCGTCCCAACTGAGGGTATGTGATTTCCTTTCTCTTGCTTCCTCCTCTCATACTTCTTAAAACTTTTTCTTCAAAAAATAAAAAAAATTTAAGGGGCCAGCAAGATAGTACAGCGGGGAAAGCACTTGCCTTGCACACACACAACCTGGGTTCGATCCCCGGCATCCCAGGGGTCCCCTGAGCACCGCCAGGAATGATTCCTGAGTGCGGAGCCAGGAGTAATCTCTGAGCATCAGCAAGTGTGGCCCAAAAGCCAAAATAAATAATTTTTTAAAAATGGGCCTGCTTGGGCGGGCCCAGTAACGTCTCCATTGGAGACTTTGTTGTTACTGTGTCTGGCATATCGAATACTCTCGGTAGCTTGCCGGGCTCTCCGAGAGGGGCGGAGGAATCGAACTCGGGTCGGCCATGTTGGCCGCTTGTAAGGCGAACACCCTACCGCTGTGCTATATATATATATATATACAGTTTGCAAATCTGTATTTGTACCTCACGGTGACTCTTCAAAAAGAAATAAATATAAGAAAAAATATATAACTAATTTGAAAGACAAAAAAAAAAAAAGGCCTGGGAAAAGGCTCAGTGGTGAATCTGCCTTTATCACTGGAGACCTGGGTTCAATCCCAGCACGGCAAAAGACTAAAACCAAACATTGTTTCAGCCGAACCCTGCTCCAGCCCCTCTCACTTGGGGCTCGCCCCTCCCAGCTCCGGCTGCTCCAGGCCCATCCCTGCTGCCCACAGCCTAGCACCCCGGGCCTCACTCCCTTCTTCCCCGTGTCCCTCCGCCCCCTGCCCCCACCGATGATTGAACCCAGGGCCTCAAGCATGCAAGACTCGTGCTCAGTTGTTCCCCTTCACCCTCTCATCTCAGCAGCATCCCCAGCACCAGGTCCAAGGAAGTGGCAAGATCCCAGAGAAACCCCCTTTCGTTCTCCTTCCTCTGGGATTCCCGCTGCCAAGGTGCCAGCAGCATGCCAGGGACGGGCTGGTCCGCACCCTTCCTGCCTCCCCATCCGTCTGCCCTTTCCTTCCCCTGCCCAGGTGCCACGGTTTTGCCAGGATGCCACACTCCCTCGCTCCTTCCTCTTCCCTCGGCCAGAACAGTTTATTTCTGGAATGTAGATATCTCAATTCTGGCAGCACGAGGGTGGCAAACGGAGCTATTCCAGTCCCAACACATCTGAGAGTCTCTTGGCGTCCTCCCTTAGCAGAGATTAAGTGAAAGGGATTGTGTCAAATATGCAGATTGGCACAATTATAATCCATCCCTTGTTATCGCAGACTCGGGACCCTGCAGCCTGGAGCTCAGGGCTGGGGTCACTGCAGCCTGGAGCTCAGGGCTGGGGTCACAGGGTCACCACAGGCCACGTATCAAAGCGATCCCTCTCCAAGGATAACAGAAAGCAGGTTCTAAATGGGGTGACCACCCCCCACCATCGTGAACCTCCTGAGATGTAAGATGGAGCCCATCTTCCTTGCCAAGAGCATTCAACCTGCACCTCCTCACCAGGAAACTCAGACAAATCTGGATCTCGGCAGTCTCATCACAAAGGCAAGGTGGCTCAGTGCCAGAGTGTCTGCTTCGCATGTGCGAGGCCCTGGGTTCGAACCCCAGCATCACACCCACATTGCTGAGAGTTATTCCTAGCTACCGAACAAGCCGACCCTCCAGACACTTAGGTAACAACAAATGATACGGGGTCAGGGACGGAGGCTGGAGAGAGAGGACCGCAGGGCACGTGGCACATGGCTGACCCAAATTCAATCCCCCGAGCCCGCTGCTGGCAGTGACAGAGTGGCTGCATCTGCAGAACGGCTCAGCCATGACACAGAAGTCCCCACTGCCCGTGGACGACACGCAGCCTGCCCGCTGTCCACCGCCCCCCGCAGCCAAACTAGTTCCCAAGTGTCTCTGACCTCCACCTGCCATCCTCACTGTGCCGCGTTCCAGCCTCCTGTCCCCCCCTCTGTCCTCTCTCTCCCTTCTCCTCTCCCACCCATTCTTCAAAGCAATCCAAGGGATCTTTCAAAAACAACCAAAAAAGCCTGACCACAGCCTCCCCTGCTTATGAAAACTTCAATGAAGGTCGGAGGGAGGGAGGTGCTCGCACCCGCGACCGCTTCGACCCCCAGCACCACGTAGGGGTCCCCTGAGGCGTGCCAGGGGTCACTCCTGAGCACAGAGCCAGGAGTAGGCACTGAATACCACCAGGTGTGGCCCCCACACGCACCCTCCCAGCCCCCCCTGCAATGTCAATGACTCCTATGGCCCATGGAACCAAGTTCAAATTCCTTTGCATGGCCCTGGGGGCCTCTCTGATTTCCATCTCATCGTTGTCTGTCTCACGCTGTCTCCTGAAGTATTTACAGACCCCTGACCTCACTCTGGACCCTGGGGGTCCAGCACCCACCCAGGAGATGCTCGAGAGAATGTTAGCTGTGTCTCCTGGCCCTCGGAGCTGAAAAGCCTGGAACTTAGTTACAGTATTCCCCACGATTTGCTGAGCAGAGCAGGGCCTCAGTTTTTCCTGTCTGAACAAAGGGTGTAAGCTTTAGGTTTGGGGCGGGCTGAAGGCAGCCCAGCAGCGTGCCCAGGCTGTGCCTGCAGTGCACATCCATGGCCACTGGGCGTCACCAGTGAGCCAATGGAGACTGGTGGGTGGAGTGTAAAAGCGTCCTATGCCAGCCCTTACCACACACTAGGCTCACCCCACACCTGCCCCGACCAAAGCTGCTCTTCCAACCCTCAAGCCTCATGCAGACCCCAGCCCAGGAGCTCCCCTTCCCAGCAGGCGGCAAGCACGGGCAGAAGTGCGGCGGGTGAGAGGAGGAAGAGCGGGGGAAGGAAGGGGCCCTGCTACCTCTTGGGGGCCCCTCACCAGTGCTTCTGAGCTGCGCCTGGTCGAGGAGAGGCCGGGCACCCATCCCCTTGGGGATTCCCAGGCCTGGGGCTGCCCAGACTAACTCAGCCTTCTCCTTGCTCTCCCTCCTCTGGGCCGGGCGCAAGTTTCCAGTCCAAGGTCTCTGGGAGGGGCTGGTGAAGGGGACCCCGGAGGCAGAGAGAGGGCTCACGCACAGACCCCCACCCCAGCTCGTACCCTGCAGACATGGGAGGGGGGAGCTGGCTGGAGAAGGTAGCAGAGTCCAGGAGGCAGGGGAAGGCATTGGGGGGGACTCATGCAGGGGATCGCACGGCTGTATCCATCACTGACCCCACAATCACGGAGAGGCGGGGCAGGTGTGGGGCCGCCTCCCGTGCCCTCCCTGACCGGTGCTTGCCAGGTGGGAGGGCGTCCAGGCAGGGGACCCCAGGGGGGAAGGGTGGGGGGTCGTTCCTCACCTGTCTCTTGGTGGGACTGTTTCTTTCTTTTTTTTTTTTTTTGCTTTTTGGGTCACACCCGGTGATGCTCAGGGGTTCCTCCTGGCTCTGCACTCAGGAATTACTCCTGGTCATGCTCAGGGTACCGTATGGGATGCTGGGAATTGAGCCCAGGTTGGTCTGCGTGCAAGGTAAATGCCCTACCCGCTGTTCTATTGCTCCATCCCAAAGTGGGACTGTTTCTAGACCCCCATCCCACCCCCCATTCTCTCACTCCTGTTGCGGGGTGCTCTGACAGAGCCTGCGTGAGTCATGGGGCTTTAGGAAATGTGGTTTCTGGGCCCCTTCCCCCCCCCCCGTCTTGGGGGCTGGGACAGGTCCATCCCTGGTTCTCTCATGCAGAGTTTCCACCCTCCCCCACTCCCCCGAGGTCACCTTGGGAGCCCCAAGATTAGTGTCAAAGGTGTCACTGATCACAAGTTTGGGGGCACTGTAGAGGCGGGTCCCTGGACCTCGCCTGTATGTCCGACCTGTCCCCAACAGTCTCTCGTCCTCCTGGTGGCTTCACAGGCCCCTTATGCCAGACATGTCTGGGCCCTCGTCCCTTCCCGGGTGCCTGCCTCTGTGCTGGGGCTTCCCAGTTCCTCGAAGACCCCCGCCCCCATCCCATCAGGTGACACATCCACGTGTCCTGTGGAAACTGCCACCAGGCTTCCCTGCCACCTGTGGAGAGGGGAGCAGAAGTCAAAGGCTTCATGGGGGGCTATGGAGATGGGCGGGTGCGGTGGGGACAGTGTCAGCCCAAACCACCCAGGGGGACAGCAGGAAGGCAGACCCACGCGTGACAAGGCAGAGACAGAGTGGGGGTCGCTGGATGGGCCGGGCGAGGGGAAGGAGCTGAAAGGCAAGAAGGTGCCTCGTGGGGAGCCTGGGCCGCTGTGGGGATTGTGGGGGACCCCCCTCCTGGGCCTGGTGGTGAAAGAGGGTCTCCCGCGCGCCCGGGCAGCTGCTTACCCAGTGGCTCTTCTCTCCGGCGTCTCCTTTGGGGCCAGGTTCTCCCTGCAAGGAGAGAGAGGGGTGAGGCCGGGAGTGGGGGGTGGGGGGCAAGGACAGCTGGGGGGAAGAGAGAGAGGAGAGAGGGAGGGGGTGAGGACGGAGAGGAAAGAGACGAAAGAGACAGAAAGGAGAGAGGAGAGAGACAGAGAGGAGAAAGAGAGAGAGAGATGGGGAAGAAAAGAGGAGAGGACAGAGGGAGAGAGAAAGAAAGAGAGAGAGAGAAACAGAGAGAGAGAGAGAGAGAGAGAGAGAGAGAGAGAGAGAAGAGCTTCTATCGGAGTTCTGTGGGATACAATGCAATCTTAGAAGAGAACTGGAGGGCCAGAGAGACAGTACAGTGGGTGGGGTACTTGCTCTGCATGCGACCGACTGATTCAATCCCCAGCACCACATATGGTCCCAAGAGCGCACCAGGAGTGATCCCTGAGAGGCTAGAGCCATAGTACAGTGGGTAGAGCGTTGGCCTTGCACGTGGCTAACCCGGGTTCGATTCCCAGCATCCCATATGGTTCCCCGAGCACTGCCAGGGGTAATTCCTGAGTACAAATCCAGCAGCAATCCCTGTGCATTGCTGAGTGTGACCCAAAAAAGAAAAAAAAAACCCAAACCTGCCCCCAAGCAGGACAGTCCCCCCTCTGGAATGAGGCCCCACAATCAGGAAAATCCATATGGGCCAGGAGCAACAGCACAGAGGGGCGGGCGCTGGCCGTGCACATGGCTGGGTGTGATCCCTGGCACCCTGCAGAGTCCCGCAGAAGCCCCAAGCCCCGCGAGGGTGACTCCCAAACCAAACCAAATTCAAATGCAATTTTGGAGGCCAATGGGGTGGGGCGGGTGAGGGGAGCATCTCCCACGCCGGGTCCAGGAAGCCAGGGGTCGTCCCTGTGACTCAGACCTCCAAGCCAGAGGACGCACTGGTGCAGGGGATCCAACTCTGCGACGCTCAGAGCGCCATGCGGTGCCGGGGGTGGTAGTGCGGTGAGACACAGGCCCGGCGCACCTGCACCCTGCAGGAGCTCACCCCGCGCGAGCTCGCCAGCTCCACTTAGGGGTTTTTCTCTCAGGCACCGGCAGTCCCCTCAGCCACAGCCCGCGCAGAGACTGTCTCGGTGACCTGAGGTGTCAGGGTTGGCGTTGAGGCTGCCAGAGAGGGCAAAATGGGGGGAACTATTCCAGGGAGCAGGGGGGCAGAGGTGGGAGTCAGATCTGCATAAAAGGGGCTGGAGAGATAGTACAGCAGGGAGGGCGTTTGCCTGGTATGTAGCCGACCAGGTTCCAGGACCAGGTTCCAGGTTCGAGGCACCCATATGGTCTCCTGAGCCCCACCCAGGTTCGATCCCGGGCACCCATATGGTCTCCTGAGCCCCGTCAGGAGCAATCCCTGTGTACGGAGCCAGGAGCAAGACCTGAGCACTGCCAGACGTGGCCCCAAAAGAAACAAACAAAAAATCCGCACATATACTCCCCTGGCAAAGTGAGATGGTGGTGGTGGTGGGGGGGTGGTCCTGGGATAGTCTCTCCCTGCCACTCCCACCCCCGCCTTCCCCATCCCCCACCTGGGAGACTAACTTCAGGTCTCATCAAATTCCAGAAGCAAGGTGACACCTAAGTCTAGAAATTTCTACGGAAACTCCGGAAAGGCCACGCATTCAGGACAAAGACCACATCACAGGACTAAGGAATTTGCTCATGAACAAAGGGCAACATCAGAATGAACCGTTTCTTTTTGTTGTTTGCTTGGGGGGGGGGGGGAGCACATCCGGCTGTGCTCAGGGCTCACTCCTGGCAGGACTCAGGGAACCACATGGGATGCTGAGTACCAGCCACACACAAGGCAAGTGCCCTCCCTGCTGTACTAGTATTCCAGTCCCTAAAAGAACGGTTTCTGATGAGCGCCCAGAGAGCGAAAGAATCCACTGAAAATTTAATTGTGCTAGGAACAACAAAAAGATCCTCATTCACCGGGGCTGGAATGAGAGTCCAATGGGAAGGGCATCTGCCTTGCATGTGGCCATCCCTGGTTCAATCCCCAACATCCCATATGGTCTCCGAGGCACCACCAGGAGTGATTCCTGAGTGCAGAACCAGGAGAAAGCCCTGAGTACAGCTAGATGTGGCCCAAACTCCTCCACCCCCCCAAAAACAAACAAAAATCAACCAAACTGAACAAAAAGTAGAAAACAGAAAAGAAAAGAACACATTCTTTTTTCTTTTCTGTTTTTTGTTTGCTTTTGTTTTTTGCTTTTTGATTCCACCTGGCAGTGCTCAGGGATTATTCCTGGCTCTGCACTCAGGAATTACCTCTGGCGGTGCTCCAGAGGGATGATGGAGATCAGGGGATCCAGGGACCAAATCCCCCGGTCAGCTATGTGCAAGGCAAATGCCCTATACACTGTACTAGTATCTCGCCCCAAGATCCACATTCTTCAGAGGAAGATAACAGATTCTCTTCAGTCTGTTATCAGTATGTCCTGTGTGCAGTGGACATCACTGGACAAGCAGCAGGGGAGAAAGCTCCACAGTCAAGACACAGACTTTGGGCTAGAGCAATAGCACAGCGGGTAGGGCGTTTGCCTTGCACACGGCCAGTCTGGGTTCAATTCCCAGCATCCCATAAGGTCCCTTGAGCACCGCCAGGGGTAATTCCTGAGTGTGGAGCCAGGAGGAACCCCTGTGCATCGCCGGGTGTGACCCAAAACACAAAAACAAACAAACAAACAAAAAAAAGAAACAGACTTTGGGCAATGGTGTCACATGTCACATGACTGCGGGGTGCCGCTGTGGATGCCGCTGAGCCCTGCCAGGGTACGCCACTGGTTGCAGCGCCCCAGAACCCCAGCACTGAGCCATCCAGCCCTGGGCAGTTGGGCAGCATCAGAAGCGGCTGAGCACTGCTGGGGACCCCTGGCCTCCCCGCCACCTCCTAATTACTAGACCTGTGAAGACACAGAAAAGAAAAAAATCAGCAACAGATCCAGAGCCACGCAAGGTGCCTGAACCAGAGGATTAAAATCTCTGATTAGCCCTTGAGCAATGGTCCAGCGGGGAGGGAGTTTGCCTTGCACACAGCCGTCCTGGGTTGAATCCCGGGTTCAATCCCTGGGTATCCCATATGGTCCCCTGAGCACCACCAGGAGTAATTCCTGAGTGCCAAGCCAGGAGTAACCCCTGAGCATTGCTTGATGTGACCCAAACAGCAACAAAATAAAAATATAAAGTAATTAATAAATAAATCTCTGATTGGGGCCCGAGCCATAGTCCAGCGGGGAGGGCACTTGCCTTTCACGCAGTCAGTCAAGCAGGGTTAGATCTCTGGCATCCCATAGGGTTGCCCGAGCACTGCCAGGATCAATTCCTGAGTGCAAAGCCAGGTGTAACCCTGGAGCATCTCCAGGTGTGTTCCAAAATCTTTTTTTAAAAAGTTATTGAAGCATCTCTGATAAATATGCTAACGATTGAAAATAAGTGGAAATAACATAGGTAATTTCAGGATATGGAAGCTGTAAGATTCCAATGGAAATCTAATGGAAATCACGAGCAAGGAAATAAAAAAAAAATGAGATTGGTTTAATAGCAGATTGAACATAGAGGAATCATCAACTTGACAACTGGTCAATGCAAGGATTCAAATGAAAGCTGAGTGAAAAAAAATTTCTTTTTTTTTTTTTTTTTTGTTTTTTGGGTCACACCCGGTGATGCACAGAAGTTACTCCTGGCTCTGCACTCAGGAATTACTCCTGGAGGTGCTCAGGGGACCATATGGGATGCTGGGAATTGAACCCGGGTTGGCCACGTGCAAGGCAAATGCCCTACCCATTGTGCTATCGCTCCAGTCCCCCTAAAATTGTATTTTTAAATATAACAGACCCTCATTGACCTACTGGAGACTATGCCTAGTGCCCTGGAAGAGGTAAAGAGAGCAGAAATGGGGGAAGGGGTCCGGGGTGCTGAGGACATAGTAACCGAATCATCACCACCCCTTCCCTACAAATAAATTTTACTTAAAAACGTAACATATTTTTGGTTTCTGTTGGGAGCATACAAAAAGCTTAGAAGGTGCTACTTCACACTAAGCGAAATACTGAACAAGATGAAACAACTCTTAGATCCACTAAAGAAACGAGGTCACAGGAAACACGGCAGAGACAGGCAGTGGCTCACAACTTACTGGAGAGGAAACTGTCCCAGGATCATTCCCACGGCAGCGAAGAGCCCCAGCGTCACTCACAAGGCACAGAAGGGCCAGGGGGAGGAGGGGGTGAGGGACGGAGAGTATATGTAGGGTGGGACTGTGCCTGCCTTGCACATGGCTGCTGTGAGTTCAATTCTAAGCATGCCATGGGTCTGCCACAAGTGATTCCTGAGCACAGAGCCAGGAGTAAGCCCTGAGTATGCCAGGTGTGACCCAATTCCCTACACACACACACACACACACACACACACACACACACACACAGCCTTTCATTCACTAGGCTTTGCCAAGTGTTGAGAGTTTCTTTCTTTCTTTCTTTCTTTCTTTCTTTCTTTCTTTCTTTTCTTTTCTTTTCTCATTTTGGGTCACACCTGGAGATGCACAAGAGTTATTCCTGGCTTTGCACTCAGGAATTAGTCCTGGTGGTGCTCAGGGGACCATATGGGATGCTGGGAATCGAACCTGGGTCAGCCACTAGCAAGGCAAATGCCCTACTTGCTGTACTATCGCTCCAGCCCCAGTAGTTTCATTTTTTTTTTCGTTCAAATTTTTATTAGTGAGACACCATGAGGTACAGTTGTAGACTTACAAATTTTGTGCTTGGGTTTCAATTATACAAAAAAATATGGAACGCTTCACGAATCTGCGTGTCATCCTTGCGCAGGGGCCATGCTAATCTTCTCTGTAAGGTAAAGGTAAAGGTAAAGGCCCTCCCGTTGATCATCGATTTGCTCGAGCGGGCCCAGTAACGTCTCCATTGGAGACTTTGTTGTTACTGTGTCTGGCATATCGAATACTCTCGGTAGCTTGCCGGGCTCTCCGAGAGGGGCGGAGGAATCGAACTCCGGTCGGCCATGTTGGCCGTGTGCAAGGCAGACGCCCTACCCGCTGTGCTATCGCTCCAGAATCTTCTCTGTATCGTTCCAATTTTAGTATATGTGCTGCCGAAGCGAGCACTAGTTTCATTTTTTAACTGTTGTGTTTTCACTTACTAGGTGGAAGAATTTTAGGAGGAAAGGTTTTCCCTCATGTACTATTGAGTATCCAGGGTAAAGATTTTATGAATTATTTAGGATAAGTGACTGAATGGGTTTATATCACCGCCCCCCCCGTTATGTGTTTATGTGCACATGTGAAAACACAGACACTTCCAGGAAGAAAATGATGCAGAATATATCGAGAAACCCTCTGTAAAAGCCATACTGTAAAACTAAATTAAAAAAAAAATAGGGGTCAGAGTAATAGTAGAGTAGATAGGGCGCTCCCCTTGCATGCGACTCAGGTTCAATCCCCAGCATCCCATATGGTCCTCCGAGCTCTGCCAAGAGTAATTACTGAGTGCAGAGCCAGGAGTAACTCTTGTGTATTGCCCGGTTTCACCCAAAAAGCCAAAAAATACTGTTTGTTTTTTTGGAGTGAAGGAATTGGCAATTCAACTTGGCAGTTCTCAGGAGCTAAAACCTGGCTCTGTACTTAGGAGTGACCCCTGGTGGTATTTGGGGACTGAGATTGATCCAGGGCCATTAGCATTGCAAGGCAAGCACCGTATCTCTCCAGCCCCTAAAAACGTTTTTTTTTTAATGTTTTTTTGAGGGGCTGGAGAGATAGCACAGCGGGTAGGGCGCTTGCCTTGCATGCGGCTGACCCGGGTTTGATTCCCAGCATCCCATATGGTCCCCTGAGCACCACCAGGAGTAACTCCTGAGTGCAGAGCCAGGAGTAACCCCTATGACCCAAAAAGCAAAAAAAAAAAAAATGTTTTTTGAGCTACACCCAGTGGTGCTCAGGGCTTACTTCTGGCTCTGAGCTCAGGAATCACTCCTGGGGTGGGGGGAGCAGGGAGGGCAGGAACCATATGGGGTGTTGGGGTTTGAATCTGGGTCAGTCGTGTGCAAGGCAAGCGCTCTACTCGCTGTACCATTGCCCCAGCCCCTAAGAGTCATGCTTTAGGCTGAAAGCGATACCAGATGGACAGCTGGAGTTAGAGGAAGGTGAAGAGCATTAAAAGGACCAGAGCACCAGTTTCTGTAAAAGACTACTTTCCTTCGTTCCTTCTTTTGGGGAGTTCTCCCCAGCTCTACACTCAGAGGTGTATGGGAGGCTCCAGCCCTTTGAACCATCTTCCCAGCCCCTCCCTTTGTTTTCTTAATTTCTATAAAAGTCAAGAGGACTAAAGCTTCTAACAGAAATTAAATCTATCCCAGCAACAGCGGAGAAAGGACGGAAGGGGCCAACTGACACAGTCCTATTATTGCATAAATGAAGTGCTGCAATGTTCACTCAAGGAAGTTGCCATCAAAGAAAGATGCATATTGTCATCCCCCAAATAATCAAGATTCGTGAGGCCAGCGCCATTTGAGTGGGTTGCCTTGCTGTGGGTTCAATCCCCCGCCCCCCACGTGGTCCACCAAACTGGATTCAATCCCCAGCACTCCATCTGGTCCGGGGACGAGGGAGACGGCGCGAAGGGGTGGCGGCATGCCCTGTCTGTGGAAGGCTCTGAGGGAACCCCAACACTGCAGGCTCCCCTGGACGCTACTGGCTGCTGACTCCCTGGCCCCCATGCGTTGAACCATCGGGTCACTCCAATGAGCTAAGCATCCACAGGAGTGTCCCCTGGACCTCCATGCACTGCCAGGGAGTTAGCCCCCTCTCCACTCCTCAAATGACATGAAGCAAAAGTTGGTCAAACTGTAGTCTGGGAGGGCCTGAGGGACAGTACAGCCGGGAGGGCACTTGCCATGCACACAGCCAACCCGGGTTCAATTTCCAGCATCCCATATGGTCCCCAGAGCCTGAGATGAGTGCAGACACAGGAGTCAGCCCTGAGCATCACCGAGTGTGGCCCAAAACAAAACAAAACAAATCCTCCCTTGGAAAAAAAGACCAACTAGTAACAAACAACTACATCTGAAGAGACAGAGTGAAGGGGCTGGAGTGACAGCACAGCGGGTAGGGCTGTGCATACGGCCAACCCGGGTTCGATTCCCAGCATCCTATATGGTCCCCCGAGCACCGCCAGGAGTGATTCCTGAGTGCATGAACCAGGAGAAATCTCTGTGCATCTCCGGGTGTGACCCAAAAAGCAAAAAAAAAAAAAAAAAAAAAAAGAGAGAGAGAGACAGAGTGAAACGCAGGGTCAGAGACCCAGAGAGACCCAAAGAGAGAGACAGGGACCTACGAGGTTGGCGCAGGGAGCTGGGGCTGTGCTGTCTGCTGGGTGGCTGGTCATGAAGGGGGGTTGCAAGGTGGTGGCGTCACTTACCGGCTGCCCCGTGGATCCTTGGGGACCCGGCTCTCCAGGAAGCCCCTGTGTGGGTGGAAGCTGATCAGACCCGGGGCTCCAGGAACTTCCCGGAAACTCCCACCAGGGGGCGCCTCGATACTCACTTTCTCGCCCTTCTCTCCTGGGTGGCCAGAGATTCCCTTGGGTCCAGTGGGCCCTGGGGGTCCCTAAGCAACAAGACAGGCTCAGTCTCGGCTGGGACAGGAAGGAGTGGGTAGGGACTCGGGGGTGCTGAGCTTGGCCTCCATCCCTCTCCGGACCACAGACCCAACATCCACACCCAGCAAGCGGGTTGGGGCCTGGAGTCAGAAGGTCCCCACCGGCCTCCGGCTGCTGTCACTGCTAGTCAGGGCCCAACGGGACCATCGTCACCTTTCTGGGCCTTATGTGGACAATACTTCCACGGAGGCAGATTTCTGAACAGCAGCTAGAATTCCAGGCACGCTGGCGTGAGTGCACAGAAGGGCCAGGGGATGGCGGGGCGTGGGGGGCAGACGGACAGTGAGTGGGAGCTCCTGGAGAATGACTCACCGCAAGGCCAGGACTGCCAGGGAGGCCCACGGGCCCAGGAGGTCCGGGGGGGCCTGGAATAGAGAGATCTCAGACCCAGGCGAGAAGCCCACCTTCAGCTTCCATCCAACCTCTGGCATGCCCCGCCCCCCCACACCTTACCCAGGTTGAGACTCAACTTACCCACAGGCCCTGGGGGTCCTGGGGGCCCAGAGGGTCCTTGGGGCCAGTGGCTGCTGGTCTCCGTGAAGGTGTTGGACAGCAGTGGGTCTCCTGAGAGGGAGGAAAGACGTAAGGGCGTCGGGTAGGGCAGGCAGCTTCCGGGGCCACCTCTCGTGACGCTATGGACAACACAGCTGGGGCCATGGGGCGGCTGCACCAAGGCTTCTGGCAAGACTGAACTGGGCTGGGGCTGAAGCAATAGCACAGTGGTTAGGGCATTTGCCTTGCACGTGGCCAACCCGGGTTCAATTCCTGGCATCCCATCTGGTCCCCTGAGCACCGCCAGGAGTAATTTCTGAGTGCAGAGCCAGGAATAACCCCTGAGCGTCGCAGGGTGTGACCCAAAAAGCCAAAAAAAAAAAAAAAAAAAGACTGGACCGGGGCTCTAACCCTGCCACCGTCTGGCTGGCGAACTCCAACAAACCTCTCCCCCTGCTGCTAAGTCTGCTCCGCCAGGGCCAGACGCGATGGTGAAGAAACATGACCACGGCTGGCCCACGACTCTGCGCTAGACTTCAGTGCTCCGTGGCACTGCGGCACCCAGAGCTGACACTGTCTCTGGCCTCACACGGGTGAGGAGCACGAGCTGTCACCCCAGGCAGCACCCCTGGCGGAGGACACCCACCAGGACGCAGCTCCCGAGTTGGGGGCTGGGGGCCAGGGTGGGCCAACCTCTCACACAGGGCCTGAATCTTCTTGGCTTTTTTTTGTCGGGGGGTCACACAGTGATGCTCAGGGGTTGCTCCTGGCTCATGCACTCAGGAATTACTCCTGGCGGTGCTCAGGGGACCAGATGGGATGCCGGGGATCGAACCCAGGTCGCCCGCATGCAAGGCAAACGCCCTACCTTCTGTGCTATCGCTCCAGCCCAGGGCCTGGATCTTCTAGGAGCTTCCAGGGCTGGCTCCGGGCCAGCTCCAAGCTTGGGGGAAGGGCTGAAGTCACTGGTTGAGATGAGGCTCTGGAGAGGTCAGTGTCACGCCGTCCCCCACCTGGCCTCACTCTGCGGCCTCCCCCTCTGCCCTGCTCTCTTTATGCCTCGTCTGTGGCGTGCGGGAGACACGTGCCCGCCACCAGGGCTGGACTGAGGCGGGACCCAGCGCACACAGGGAGCCTGAAGGACAGGAGCGAGGACTGGGGGGCAGTGACATCTGTCTCGCCCCACACCTGCCTCTGCCTGCGGGAACCCCAGGGGACTCACCGTGCTGGATCTGGGCATAGGGGGGTCCGACAGGAGCTGGTGGTCCTGGGGGCCCAGAAGGCCCAGGTGGGCCTGGAGGTCCCCTCTCTCCAGGGGTGCCCACAGCTCCGGTCTGGCCAGGGCGTCCAGGGGGGCCCTGGGGACCTGCAATGGAACCAAGGACGTGCGGAGGAGTCAGGGAGGTCCAGTGTGGTCTGACATCCCTGCCCCGATCCCTCTGAGCGTGACGACAAAACAGTACAAGCAGATACCAATTTCTAGAAAGTTCTCTCCCAATCTTGGGGGTGGGCAGAGAGGGTGGGCCACCCCAAGTGCTCAGGGCTGACTCCTGATTCTGTGCCCAGGGACCACTTCTGACAGTGCTCAGGGGGTCCTTATGGGGTGCTGCAGATTGAACCTGGTTCGACCATGTTCAAGGCAAATGGTCTCCCTGCTGTCCTATCGCTCCGGGCCCTCGCCCGGACTTCGCTCGAGTTGGTTCCGGCCTGCAGTTCCCCCTTGGCTTGGCCTACTGGCTGGATCAGCCTTCCTGGCCACCCCCTTACACCCCCCCAACCCTGCTTCCTTCCCTGGGGCGTCCAAACCATCAGCGTCCCCCTAAGAACCCGGAGTCCTGTCCAGGGAATACCAAGAGGGCCAGGGCTCGCCTCCCTGAGGAACTGAGTCTCCTAGGAGGCAGTCCTGGGGAGCACAGTGGTGGGGGACCCCCCGCTGGCACAGAGGGCAGAGGGAAGGCGTCCTCAGCAATGCAGGTGGAGCCAGGCTCTCCCGGAAGTGGGCTGGGAGGAGGGGGAGGGGGGAACTCACCTGGTGGGCCTCGCATGCCCATGGGCCCCCGGCTGCCCATGTCTCCCTTGGGGCCAGTGGGGCCAGGAAGCCCCCGGATGCCAACTCGATCTGGGGGAGAAAACCCATCAGCTCTGTGGTGCCCCCTGTTCCCGCCCCCAGTTGGCTCCCACTGTCTCGAGGCAGCAAGGGGAGCCCCCGCAGGCCCATTGAGAGCTGGGGGGCTGGAGGCCGAGCTGGGCTGGACAGCAGGCTGGGCCCAGGACCTACTGCCCAGATGCCGTGCACTCACCTCGGGGGCCTCCATCCCCGGGGCTGCCCTGGGCAGCTGGGGAGCCCCAGAGCGGGGCAGGGTCCTCGGGGGCAGGGGGGGTGGGGGGTGCTGGCTGCTCTGGGATGGTCAGCACGGCCACCTGTGGAGGAAGAAGTCAGGCTGAGGGCCAGGCTGGAGTCCAGCCGGTGGTGGACAGGGCCTCCGTGGAGGACACCCATCAGGCCCACCTGCCCCTGTGGGGCCCCCAGGCCTCTGGCGCCGCCAGGACCGCAGCTGGCAGCTTCTCATGGGGCTCGAGGGGAGTGAGGGGTGCAGCGTGCCAGGTCCTCACACCACGTGGCCTCTTCGGGAGAGACCCTCGAGCACCAAGCTGGTTGTGGCCCCTGAGCACCAGTGGGCGTAAAAACAAGGCAAGGCGCGAAAAGGGCAGAGGGCTTTGCATCTGGGCCCAGCTGAGACTGTCTCCTCGGGGACCTGGGGCTGGAATCGGGGAGGGGCCGCCTCGATGCTCTGACCTATGGATGCTGTCTCCAGGGGAGGGGCGAGGGGGTGCGGGAGACAGGCCGGGGGGGGGCTAGCCACAAGCTCTTGTGAGGTTGGCATCACCAGCTTGGGGGCTCCTAGAGGAAGAGTAAGGGGGGGCAGGTTTCCCCGGGAAGGGCTGGGGCCCAAGGTCAAAAATGCCAGATGGGAAGTGGGAGGGGTGAGAGCCTGAAACACAGCCAGGGGGAGGACAGGGGTGCAGGGAGAGGGGGCTGGGGGAGGGTGGGGCTGGGGGAGGGCCGGGGTGCAGGGAGAGGGGGCTGGGGGAGGGTGGGGCTGGGGGAGGGCAGGGGTGCAGGGAGAGGGGGCTGGGGGAGGGTGGGGTTGGGGGAGGGCAGGGGTGCAGGGAGGGCGGGTGCAGGGAGAGGGGGTGAGGGGAGGGCAGGGGTGCAGGGAGGGCGGGTCAGGGGAGGGCGGGTGCAGGGAGAGGGGGTGAGGGGAGGGCAGGGGTGCAGGGAGGGGGCGGGGGAGGGCAGCTGTTCACCCACCTTGGCCTCCAGCTCCTTCAGCCGCTCGCTCAGCTCGGCCACTTTACTGCAGTTGAGACAACCTGTGAGGAGCAGCAGCGGGGGCGGGCTCTAGACTAGGCCGCTAGGGGGCGCCCGATCACGGGGAAGCCAGCTGGGGGCAGGGGCTCTGGGCTGCAGCCTGACAAGGGGGGGTCTCCCTTAGGCCCCAAGCAGGGCCCCCACTCCTGAACCCTCTGCCAGGCACGGGGCATGAGGGGTGCCAGGGCCCACTGCCCCGTGCCTTCCCGTCCGGGCTTTTCCCATCTTCTCCCGCCCACTGCCCTCCCACAGCCCTTCTGGCCTCCTCAGTGACACCCAGTTACGTCATGAGCACTGCGGGATGATCACTGACTGGCTGGGCTCTGGGCATCAGGTCCAGTGCAGGGTATGGACCCGAACCCTATGGCCAGGACAGGGGTCCGCCCCCGAGGCACACTGAGGACCCTGAGCTCGGGGGGGGGCTGTAACCTCGCCAGGCCCGGGCTGAGCCCTGCTCTGTCCCTTCCTGGCTCCGAGGCCACGGCTCCTCTGACCAGCCGTCAGCTTCCTCTTCTTTAAAACGGGACAATGAGGCCTTCCTGGGCTGGGGGGGCCCGGTCCGAGGTTCAAAGGAGCTGATGATGGCAAGCACCTGGCATGCGGCCTCCGCTACTGGCGAAAATCAGTTTCCACCAGGGAAGAAAACGAGGTGTTTGGAGCTGCCCCCGCATGAGCCTGGCGGGAGGCGATGTACGGGCCTGGGGTGCTGGGCCCACGCCAGACTCCCCACAGGGAGGGCGCAGGGCACAATCCCAACCCCCCATCGTGGGCCTCAGCCTGCCCCCCAGCCCCCGCAGCCCAGAAAGGCCCGAGTCATCACCCCGGGACCCACCTGAGAAGCTGGGGGGTCGCAGTGCCATCCGCCGCGTGCTGCTGCCTGGCCACCCAGGGCCCACAAAGCCTGGGGAGCCTGCAACTGAGAGACAGTGGGGTGAGGCCGGCCTGCAGGCACTCTCGCCCGCCCTGCAGCAGGGAGCGGGTGGACGGGGCACGGGGAGGGGGGCGAGGGAGGGGGGCAGAATCACACAGCAGGAACCCAGTAGGGGACTGGGGGTGGCCCCAGAGAGAACAGCAGGTGGGACGTTGGCCTTGCATGTGGCTGATCTGGGTTCATTCCCAGCTCCTCATATGCCCCCCGCCCAAGACCACCAGGAGAGATCCTTGAGCTCAGAGCCAGGAGTTAAGCCCGCTGTGGCCCAAAAGCAAAAATAAAATCCAAACGAAAAGAGCTCAGAGTGGAGGCTGGAGCGATAGCACAGAGGATAGGGCATTTGCCTTGCACGCGGCCAACCCAGGTTCGATTCCCCTGAGATCAGCATCCCATATGGTCCCCCAAGCACTGCCAGGAGTAATTCCTGAGTGCAGAGCCAGGAATAACCCTTGAGCATTGCTGGGTGTGACCCAAAAAGAAAAAAAAAAGAGAGCTCTGGTGCCAGAGCCATAGCACAGCGAGCCGACCTGGGTTCGATCCCCGGCATCCCATATGGTCCCCCAAGCACCGCCAGGAGTAATTCCTGAGTGCAGAGCCAGGAATAACCCCTGAGCATCGCTGGGTGTGACCCAAAAAGCAAAAAAAAAACTCAGAGTGAGGGCATGGGGGTGCTCTGGGGAGAAGCATATGTGAGGCCTTGGGTTTGATCCCCCATAGCCCAAACAAAGGAAGGTCGGAGCGAAGAGAGGCGGGGAGAGTCCCAGCCCAGCTCCCTATTGGCCCAGGTGACGTGTGTGGAGCTGGGGACTTAGCCCGAGCTACTGCTCAGCCTGGCTGCCCCCACCCCAGCCCACGCCCCGGCCCCCAGCGCTGGTTTTAAATGGAAACCACAGGGCAGCTGCGATGGTGCTCGCGGCGGGAAGGAGTCCCACCACCGCCCCGCCAGGGCAGGCTGTGTTGACTCGGGGGGCCTGGGTTTCTGCACAGATGGAGGGACGAGCAGGCCAAGCTGAGGGTGGGGGACGCAGCTGGAGGGGCTGCAGAGCCAGCAGTGGCAAGTGCCCCCCGGAACCCCCCAGGGTCGGCCTTTTAAGGCCAGGAAGTGTCATCTGAGGGGAGGCCAGACCCAAATAAGGCTCGGGGCTGGCAGCCGGGAGTCGGGCTGCGGGCTGGTGCAGGAGAGAGAGGCGCCAGGAACTCAAACCAGACGGGCTCCTCTGGCCAGGCCCCAGCCGGGAGGCTGCCAGGGCCCACTGGGCCCCGCCATGTGGCCTTCGCTGGTTCCCCGCACATCCGCCCTGGGGCTGGCCCTGGGGCGGAGAAAAATGCAGTCCCGGACTGGACAGGAGATGAGGCTCCGTGTGTGTGCATATGTGTGCATGCATGTGTGTGTGAATGTGTTTGCTTGTGTGCACGTGTGTGAACCAGGCTGAGAGCCCAACGCTTTCCGAGCTCAGCATCTCACGTAAACATTCGCCTCTTTTGTTTTTGGTTTCACTGTGCCAGGGATCGAACCCAGGTAAGCCAGCAAGCGAGCTGCCCTGAGCTGTAGTCCTGACCTCTTAACTCCTTAGCTTCACCAAACCCTATGGAGTGGGTGCCAGCATCACATCCACTTTTACAGAAGGGGAAACTGAGGTGCAGAGCAGCTCTGAGCAATTCCCTGCCCCTGCTCAGACACACGGGTGGATGGTGGAACAGGTATCCCATATGGTCCCCCAAGCACTGCCAGGAGTGATCCCTGAGTGCAGAGCTGGGAGTATTCCTGAGCATCACCCGGTGTGACCCAAAAAGCAAAGAAAAAAAAAAGATTTAATTGGGCGGGGTGCGGTTTGGGGCAGACTCTGGCTCTGTGCTCAGGGCTCAGTCCTGGTCAGGCTCCCTACGGGAATCTGGGATCAAACCCAGGTTGGCTGTGTACAAAGCAAGCACCCAACCCCCTGTACTACAGCTCCAGCCCCATCTTCTGTCCCTTCACCCATCACATGTCATGAGCTGGAGGCAGCCCTTGGCTCCCGGCTGGAACAGCACCCCCAAGGGGCAGGGAACAGGGCCAGCTGGTGCATGTCCATAAGTGCCCCTCAGTAGTCTCCACAAGCCTAGATGATTAGCACATGGATCACTGGCTCACTGCTGAGAGCAGGGAGGGCCAACAGAAAGCAAAATGATGCGAACGGCAGAGCTGACGGTCTGAAATGAGCCCGAGAGTCCTTGTGAAGGGTGAGGGGTCCCTGTCACCAGTCTGTGAAACTACAGTCGGGAACTCTACCACCAGGAGCCCCAGGGGACGAGAGAAGGGAGTGACAACACACCTGGCCAGCAGCACGGACCTTTGGGGCTCAAAGCAATTGGAAGGTTAAAAATAAAGAAAAAAAGTTTGGGCCAGAGTGATAGTACCGGGGGTAGGTGTTTGCCTTGCATGCGGCCAACGCAGGTTCAATCCCCGGCATCCCCTATGGTTCCCCAAGCACCACCAGGTGTAATTCCTGAGTGCAAAGCCAGGAGTAACCCCTGAGCATCAATGGGTGTGACCCAAAAAGTTAAAAAAAAAAGTTTGAGGGCTGGAGAGAGTACAGCAGGTAAGGTGTTTGCCTTACATACGGCTAATCTGGGTTTCATCCCCAGCACCCTACATGGTTCTCAGAGTCTGCCAGGGACAATCTCTGAGCACAGAGTCAGGAGTAAGCCCTGAGCACAGCTGGGCGTGACCCCCCGCAAAAAAAAAAAAAAAAGAAAGAATAAAACTGTTGAATAGACCAAAACATGAATTCAGGATTCAGAAAAATTATTCTCTTTCCCCACATTCTGCTCTTTTTGGGGGGTGGGGAGACACCTGGCAGTGCTCAGGGGCTCCCCAGATCAGTGCTCCACTACCAACGGCAGTGACCACACAGTACTAGGGAAGGAACCCAGACCTCCCGCTTGCAGAACACGAGCTCTTCCCTGTAGGGTTCCAGTCCCAGCCCCCCAAATTCTTGTAAATAAACAGAAATACCATATTTCATGGCATCACTGCTGCCAACACATAATGACCAGATCTTATTTACATCAGCCCCAAATGGATGCATTTACTTCAACCCCTAAAAAATGTCTCATGCATGGGCTGGAGAGACAGTACAGTGGGTAGGGCACTTTCTTGCATGTGGCCGACCTGAATTAGATCTCCAGCACCCCATAGGGTCCCCCAAAACCTGACAGGAGTGACCCCTGAGCAGAGTTAGGAGAAAGCCCTGAGTACAGCTGGGTATGACCTAAGTCCAAACTAAAAACGTTCGACAACTAAGTGGTAAAATCAGGCACGCTCAGGGGCTGGAGTGATAGCACAGCGGGTAGGGCGTTTGCCTTGCACGTGGCTAACCCAGGTTCGATTCCCAGCATCCCATATGGTCCCCTGAGCACCGCCAGGAGTCATTCTTAAGTGCAGAGCCAGGAGTAACCCCTGTGCATCACCGTGGAAGGCCCAAAAAGCAAAAATAAATAAAAGATATCATCTTAAAAAATAATAATAACCTGACACGCTCAGAATCAAGCCAGATGGTGACAACAGGTGACCACAGGCCTTGACACACAGGAAAGAGAACCAGGGTGGCAGTTCCTGACTTCATGCCCCTCTGGTGTCTGGCCTGAAGGGTCCCTCCCCACACAGAACCGGGCCTTGGGGTTTGCTTGCTGTGTGACCTGGTGTGTGACCCACTCAGCCCCAGCCCTGCTCCTGGACCACACCCCAGCTCCAGTCAGGGAGTCTGAGTTTGGGAATCAGCACTTGGGAAGATTCTTTCTTCCCCCCTTCCCCTCCCCACTCCACATACACAGTCCCCCAACCCTTATCGCCTCGGCTGTTTCCATGCCACCTCCTTCAGGAAGCCCTCCTGGATAGTCCAAAGTGCCCCCACAAAGTTTCTCTTGCAGTTCTCATTTCTCCCTATCTTGACCTCCACAAGGTCAATGCCATCTGCTGTTTCTGGCTCTGCGCCCCTATAAGCAGCTGTTCTCCCCCTGGCCCGGCGCCAAGCCCGTGCTCAGTGACTCTGCGCCCCTTTTCACCGAGTCCCACGCTAGAGAGACTGCCTGTCTTCACAGCAGGACGAGAACTGGGGTTCATACCTGGGAGGTTTGAATATTCACCTCTGATGTCCTCTACGAGAAGGACATCCTCACTCACAAGCCATCCCGGGGCCTGGGTGGGGGTCCAGCGAAACACGGACATATGGCTGCAGCCGCCCCGGCCAAGTCAGGTCTCCCTCCTGGGAATGTTCTTTGCCAACGTAAATATTTGCTGCTTTTGGCGCCCACCAGGGATTGGGGTCAGGGCTGGGGCCGGACGCTCCAGGAAGCCGCTGGGGAGCTTTCGTCTGAGCCTGGCCTGGTGCCCCTGCCCGTAAAGCGAGGCTCCCATTCATTCATTTTCCACTTTGGGGTGAAGGGTGGGCGGGGCCGTCCCTGCCGTGTGGCGTGGGGCTACTTTCATCCCTGGCCGGACGGGTGGCAAAGGGACCTGTGTGCCGAGGACAGTGAGCCAGTGTGGGGGAGCCAGGTGGCCTGTCTGTGGGTCTGTGGGGAGGAGTGCGAGGGGGCTCCAGACCCACTGCCTTCCAGACTGGGGGGGCTAAGACTGGCTCAGGCCAGCCGTCTGGCATCCCAACTGTCTGCAGACGCACTCCTGGACCCATGCTTCAGGGGAAAGAGGGGACCCGGCTCCTCCTCCCCGAGCAAGGCACCCCCACCCCAGCCTCAACATCCACCTCCTGTCTTGGTCAGTGTTTCCCAAAGTGGGCAATACCGCTCCATGGGGTGGGCGAGTCGAAATGATTCAGGGATGCAGTTGTAGCCTCGAGTAATTCTGGGGGATGTTTTGAGTAGATCTCCAGGGGGCTTTGAGTAATTTTTTTTTTCTGAAAAGGGAGTGGTAGATGGGGCCGAAGCCATAGTACAGCGGGTAAGAGTGCTTGACTTGAAAGCGGCCAACCAGGGTTTGATCCCGGCATCCCATATGTTCCCCTGAGCACCACCAGGAGTGATCCGTGAGTGCAGAGCCAGGAGTAACCCCTGAGCAACACCAGGTGTGAACCAAAAAAATAAAACAACAACAACAACCAAAAAAACACCACAACACCCAATAAGAGAGAGAGAACAAAAGGGAATGCCCTGCCACAGAGGCAGGGTGGGATGGGGGGTATGGGGGTGGGAGGGATACTGGGATCCGTGGTGGTGGGAAATGGGCACTGATGGAGGGATGGGTATTTGATCATTGTATAACTGAAACCCAAGCACAAAAATGTGTAAGTCTACAACTGTACCTCATGATGTCTAATAAAAATTAACAACAACAACAAAACTATTTCTGGGAGCCTCTATCTTGTGGGTCCAGGCAGCAAGGTCGATACCAGTGAGTTCGGAGCCCCTGGAGTAAAGCCTGGCCACAATGCTGAGGCCCACATGCTCTCAGGCCTCGATTCCGCCATGGACCCGGGGCTGGGCTGAAGCTGTGTCTGCGGGGAGCACAGTGCCTGGTGGTTCAGTGTCCAGGCCACTCAAGGCACCGGACCAGCCACATGGTTCCTTCTGGCATGGCACCTCAGGGATCCCCAACATCAGCCCCACCCACCAAGGCCTGCAGTACTAAGGGATGCTTCTCTCATGGTCACAGAGCAAACCGCCCATTCTGCAGATAGGGAAACCGGGCTCGGAGCCAGCAACTCTGTGAGCCTCATGAGCACCAAGTGTGGAGTCTCAAGGCTGCTTTGGTTTTTGTTTGTTTGGGTTCTGGGGCCATACCTGGCAATGCTCAGGGGCAATGCTCCTGGCTCTGCACTCAATGATCACTCCTGGTGGCGCTTGGAGGACCATATGGGATGCCGGGATCGATCCTGGCTCCAGTCTCCTCGAGGGTTCTTTGTTGTTCTTTGTTGAATTGCTGACTGACAAGTGGGGCTCAGACAATCAGTCTCTGAGAGCCTCCCCAGAACCCAGGACACAGGGACCAGAAAGGGAGGGCGGTATTTTATCAAGCACCAAAGCTTAGGAATGTATCTTTGGGGGGGCAGGGGTAGGAGCACTCGCACTGCATGCTCAGGAGGTCTGGGTTGGATCCCCAGCACCTCAGGGCCCCAAGTACCAACCCAGGAGCAGCCCCTGTGCACCACTGGGTATGACCCTTTTTTTAAAAGAACCCCCCAATACTGGCCATGGCTCAGAGAGGAGAAGTGACTTGTCTCAAGTCAAACAGCTGGGTGCAGCCAATCCAGGGCTGAAGTTGCAATGCTGGGAATTCCCTCCCTCTCTTGCGCTCCCTCTGGGCTACTCAGGGCCCTGTCATCAGGCCCCTGGGGATGCAGTTCTAAGGCCCTGGGGTCATGTCACAGCACTGGACCGACCAGAGGCGTGGACAGCAGGGGAAACAGCTGTGCCTGGCTGTCACAGAAGGGCAGGGCTGGGGGTGGCCAGCCACGCCCTCGGCTGCCTGGTCCTCAGCAGAGCAGTTTTCCAGAACGTTCAGACCTGGGTATCCCTACTCCTGCTGACCCTGTGGGTGGGGACAGGCCCTTCCTGTCCCCGCAGTCATTGTGCGGTCATCGTGCCTGGGCCCCCAGGGCTTGGCTGCAGAATGCAGACTTCACAGGTGAGAAGGTGAAGGCACAGAGAGGGGCACGTTGGGAGAGCAAACAGCAGCTGGAGGCCCTGGGGGGACGCTGCCCCTCCCTCCGTGGGCACAAGCTGAAGCACCGCCTCCCCGCCCCCAGTCCAGGGTCTTTGCACAATCACCAGGACTCCCCAGCCCAAGGCCAAACAGCTGGTGTGCGGTGGAGGGGGGGCCGGTCCTTGAAACCTGGGCCACCCCCGTCCCCAGCAGGGCCCACCTGACCCTGGCAGGACACACAGCTTCCAGCTGCCAGACTCAAGGGCACGGGGCCGCCCTCACGTGCCGTCTGTGATAGTCCCCTCCACATGGACCTCACAGGTTCAGGGCACCAGTGCTGGTGTCAAGGCCCGGGACAGAATGGCCTTGGTGTGGAAAAGGGGTCCAACACCTCGGAAGACCCCCCCCCACCTCAGCTCTTCCCTGGCTCTCCTGCCCGCCCCCCAGCAGGCAGAGGGGGTACTGCCCTGGCCCCCCTCCCCTGCCCCAATGGCCTGGTTTAGGTGGCAGCCAGGCCACTTTGGGATGAACTCAGCTTGCCACCCTGACACTGGTCCTCAGCACCCCCACGGCGAACCCAGGAGGGGGGCGTTGGGGGCAGGGTGTCCGCCAGATCCACTTGGGTTTCTGGGATCGGAACAGGCTGCAGACGGATGCGCACTTTGGGGGCTCCTACGGGACCCTGAATACTGCTTCTCATTGGAGTGCCTCCGGCCTGCCCCCCAGGGGGTGTGGGGCTAGCTCATCCTCTGGGGTTCATCTTGGGAGCACAGTCCTTTGGGTGTGCTCAAAGGACTAAACCCGGAAGTGGAGGGGTGGAGGGGCCCGAGGAGGGAGAGGTTTCCAGTTACTGCCGGGCCCTCGTGGCACCCCTGCATGCAGAGAAGGGGGGAGAAGGCTTCTCTGCTGGGGCATGTTCCCCACGAGGGGCTCCTCGCTGAACCCTCCCATGCCAGTGGCCCAGCTCTGAGCACCAGGCCGACCAGGGTTTGAGTCCCAATGACCATTAGGAGCTGAGTGTTCATCACTTTGAGGGGGCCTAAGTTTCTTTTACTTATTTAATTTTTTCTTTTTCGGTCACACCCGGTGATGCACAGGGGTTACTCTCCTGGCTCTGCACTCAGGAATGACTCCTGGCGCTGCTTGGGGAAAATATGGGATGCTGGGAATCGAACCCGGATTGGCCACGTGCAAAGCCAATGCCCTCCCCGCTGGACTATCGCTCCAGGCCCCCACTTTTATTTTTTAATTTTAAATTTTATCTTTGTTTTTTTGGGCCACGCCTGGCAAAGCTCAAGGGCTCCTCCTGCCTCTGGGCCGAGGGCTCACGCCTGGTGGTGCGTGAGGGGGAGACCACCAGGCGCTGGGGGCTGCATTCCACTGCGCACAAGCAAAGCTGCAGCTCGGCCCTGTGGGGGTTGGTCTCCCGCCAGCCTCAGTCTCTTCCCCTGAGGGATGGGGACCGCCATCCTGAGCCTGCTCATCCCCCAACCTCCTAGGGCAGTTTCCCTTCCATGCATCCTGCTATCACCTCCCACGAAAGTGTCAAAGTTTGGAGGGAAGGGGCTGGCAGAAAAGCTTTAACTTCCGGGGTGCCTGGAATCTCCCCAGGGGCACGTGGCCCCGCCCCCCTCCAGCCCCCCACCCGTGCGCGAATGCGCCTCATGCACCCGGTCCTCGTGTACCGGGCGGGACGCTGCTCCCAGCTCAGTCCTGGGTCTCTGCTCCTCTGCGCAGGCGCACGAGAGGGGGACCACCCCCCCACCGCCCTGCGCTCCTACCTTCCTCACAGTTAGCTCCCGAGTGCCCGGGGCAGCACCTCCACTCGCGGGCCGTCACCGTCTTGTACATCACTTTGTAGGTGGGTCGCACCACGGTCCTGTAGCTGAGACAGTGCCAAGGCCCCGCTCAGAGCAGGCTTCGGCAGCCTCCTAACTCTGGGCGGGACAAACCTGGAGCCCCCAGGCCCCCTGTCCCCTCTTCCCAGGAGCCAGATCTCACCGAGAGCACCAGGCGTGGGTGAATGGAGGAATGCCTCACTCAGGAAGCCCTCCAGGGATCCACACGCACCCAGGGGGAGGTGCTGAGTGCCGGTTCAGGTTCCCTTTGCCCCGCCTACTCCTGGTCCCAGGCTTCCTTATGTTCCTGAGGCCGATCCATTCCCAGGGCTTGGCCCACCTGAAATGCCATCAGCACCTCACTTACCCGTACCCCGGGCAGCTCACGGGCCAGGGGCAATTCTGCAGCACGCGCTGAAGGTAGGTGCCGTTCTGCACATGGCATGAGATGGTTCGGGTCACCACATACGAGCACCAGTTTCTGCAAGAGACCACAGACAGGACCCTGGATGCCAGACACGCCCAGCGCAGGAAGGCGTCTGAGTTCTTGCCAGGAGCCCCAAGTCTCAAAGCTGACGGACCCCTGAGGTCTCAGAGGCCTTTGGGCCGCAGTGGCTGCTGGGGTTGGCTGAGGGGCGAAGTCCTGGGCTGGGAGGGGGCGTGCTAGAGGTCCCCAAGAGCTCCTGGGGATGAGCTGCAGGGGGCCAAGACAGGTCCCTCCTCGTCCTCCTCCTCCTCTTCTCCAGCCATCGTCATCCAGTGTCACCTCTCACCCCGTGTCCCTTGAGACCATGTCATCAAGGGAAGGACCAGCTGTGCCTGCCCTCCTGTGCCTGTGGCTGCCACAGATCACACCCCCGGGCCTTTGCTCCCAGCCTGGAGCCCCTCCCCCTCTCCAGGAGGCTGCTTCTCCCTTGAGCCCTGCCGAGTGCCCGGATGCTCCCTCCACCCTCCCCTGGCCCCTCCCTCCGTGACAGCTGGGAGGCCCACAGGATGGACGTCCCAAGCCTAAGTGGCGGACTGCTCCAAATGCCAAGAATCCAATCACTTTATTTATTTATTTTGGTTTGGGGGCCATATCCGGTACTTCTGGCTCAGGGGTCACTCCGGCAGGGCCTGGGGGACTGGATGTGGTGCTGGGGGAAAGCTGATCATTTTTCGCACGCGGAGTGCCGAGGGTATGTATGGAAAGGTACACACATCGTCCGCCCACAGCAATCTAGGCAACCCCCAACATCTAACAAAGGGAAACTGAGGCTGGGGGAGGCTCTGCTCACAGGGCCAGATGGCCCGGCCCAGCCCTGCCTGGCCCTGCCCAGGCCCCATCCAGAGGCCTCCGCTCTCCTCATCTGTCTCCGTCTCTCCGTGACGGCCCTTCCTGGGAACGGGCTGACCTGGGCCACGTGAGCACAAAGGGGTGAGGTGGGGGGTCCCATAAAATGAAACGGTTCCTCCTTTCCCAGGCAAAAAGAATTCCAGGCCTGTGACCCCGTGCAGGGCTGAGGGCTACTGAGCACCGGGAATGTGCCGGTTGAGGGGCGCCTCCCAGCTCTGAAACCCTGTTTCTCAGGTGCTACCCACTCCCCGGGCCCCACACGGGGGAGACACGGGTGCTCTGGGGGTACTCAGTCCGTGTCACTCCTCTGTATGCTGGAGGTACTCAGTCCAGTACTCAGTCTCCACATCATCCTTAGTGCTCTGGAGGTACTCAGTCTAGTACTCAGTCTCCACATCATCCCTTAGTGCTCTGGAGGAACTCAGTCAAGTACTCAGTCCATGTCACCCCTCTGTTCTGTAGGTATTCAGTCCAGTACTCAGTCTCCAAGTCACCCGTACTCAATCTCCACATCACCTCTCATGCTCTGGAGGTACTCAGTCCAGTACTGTCTGCAGATTGGCCCTCAGTGCTCTAGAGGACCCACCGTGTCACTGTGGGCCTTGAGGAAGTCCCTTCTGTGACTATTCAGTCTCACTGGGATTGGGCAGGAGGAGACCCTCGCTGGAGGAGAGGGGCCGTGGGGGGCCGGCAGCCCTGCTGAGTCAGGGCAGGAGCTCAGCAAAGCCCTGGGCAAGCTGCTTCCAGAGAGGGGGACAGGTGCAGCCCCCCCAGAACAGGCACAGCCAGCAGCAGTAGCCTGAACAGCCGCCTGGCAGCGCCCGGGCTGTGTGCCAGCCCCTACGCCTGGCTTGGGGTAAAGCATGTAGACATCCTACATCCATTAAATGAGAAGGGTCCAGAGCCCAGAGCAATAGTACAGTGGGGTGGGCGTTTGCCTTGCATGCAGTCGACCCGGGTTCAATCCCCGGCATCCGACAGGGTTCCCCATAACCCGCCAGCAGTGATCCCTGACGACAGGCAGAAATAAGCCATGAGCGTAGCTGGGGCTGGCCCCCAAATAAAACAAAATAAAAATAAATAAGGAAGAGGGGCTGGGGATTTGGCTCCGAGGGGTGGGCAGGTGCCTTGCAGGCTTGGGACCCTGAGTTTGATCCCCAGCGCCGTACGGCACCCCTCCGCGCCCAAGCCGGGTATGGCTCTGGTGCTCAAGCACTGCAGACTGAGTCCCACGCCACTGGGCATCGAGGGAGGCAGCTGTGGCCCCCAGCACCACTATCTCTGTAATTCCAGTAAATAAGCCCCAACTCTGTGAGGGTGCAGAGAAACAGGCTCTCGGCTCACATCAATGCCGCCTCCGGGGAGGGCCCAAGCCTGTGCAGCCCCTAGGGCGTCCCACACCACACTCAGGAGTGCCCCTCGGCAGCAGGAAGGCAGAGGCCCAGGATGGGTCCTGGGCACTCAGGGCTGAGCAGCCAAATCCCAGCTAGAATTCAAGGCCGTCTGGCCAGCTGCATGCCCAGCGTGCCTCATGCCGCCTGGAAACGGTTCCCTGAAGAGCAGAAGGAGCTTCTACCCATTGGAAAGCCACATTTCCAACCTCTTCACCCCACCCCCTCGCGCGCGCACACACACACACACACACACACACACACACACACATACACACACGCCCGCTGCAATCTCTGGGTGCTGAGGGGCTGAGGCTTTTTTTTTTTAATTTTAGTAGTTTTACTTGCTTTTATTTATTTATTTATTTTTGCTTTTTGGGCCACACCCAGCGATACACAGGGGTTCCTCCTGGCTCTGCACTCGGGAGTTACTCCTGGCGGTGCTCAGGGGATCACATGGGATGCTGGGAATTGAACCCGGGTCGGCCGCATGCAAGGCAAACGCCCTTCCCGCTGTGCTAACTCTCCAGCCCCCGGAGCTGAGGCTTTTAACCAATCAGGGTTTTGCTTGGGGGTACACGGCCTCTTTGGGAAATTGGTGGAACCAGAAGATGCTTAAACTTGGGGTACAACATCAGGGGGACCCAGAGGCTCCCTCTGGGCTGTGCGTGCCCCTCCGTCTGGTCCAGGAGGCTCTGTGAGCGGAGGACGGAGACAGCAATCCGGGCAGAGGGCACAGGAGGGCCAAGCAGGGGAGGGAACTCCAAGCCAGCGGGCAGAGACAGGCACGCACACCTGCAAACACACCTGCACACAGCTGCACAGACGCGAACGCACACGGGAACAGATGGCGCACACACACTCTCACGATGCACTTGGTGACACCCACACAAGCTCACAGCGCGCATCCACGGCTGTGCCCAGACAAACACGCGCACGGGGTAATGCACACACACACACACACACACACAGAGCCACACACATGCTCACACGCACATGCATGCTTGTGGGAACATACACGCACACGGCAAGACAGCGTGTATACATGCTCACATGCACAAGTCACACACTTGCATGCGTGCACGCGGGCCAGGCACACATCTGCACACAGACATGTGTGCACAGAGCTCCCAGCAGCACACATGGCCATGGGCCCTCACACACTCTGCACACCACAACACCAAGAGAGTTCAAGGACCTTGAACTACAGGGGGTCTGTGCCGGCGCTGAGTTCCACGTCTGCTCCCACAGGTTGGGGGCTTCACCCACACACGTGCAGCCCCCTCACCCCCCAGTCCTGGACTAGCTGGGGGCGGATGGGCCTGTGCCCGCCCACAGTGGCCCCAGCTGCCCCTCTTTTTCTTCCAAGGCCATGTTAAAACAAGCCACTCCCCCCTTCCTTAATTAAAATCTCCCCCACGTGGGTCCCTGGTCCATTTCCCACCAGCTGGGATTTGCTGAACCCTGTGCTCAGGCGACACAGAGCTGGGCGTCTGCAAGCCAGACTGTTGTGTTTGTTGTTTTTTTTTGGGGGGGGGCTACACCCAGCAGTGCTCAGGGCTTACTCCACAGGCTCTATGTTCAGGGGTTACTCCTGGTGGTGCTCGGGGGAATCGTATATGGTGCCAGGTTGATATATTGATATATTGACCACGGTTGGTCAATTTCAAAGCAAACACCTTAATCTCGTGCAATCTCTCTGGCTTGGTAAATCTTACACGGGAGGGTCCTCAAGCCAGATGGGGCTCAAGGTCTGCCCCCTCATCCCTCCCTCCCTCCTTCCGGGGAGCATCAATCACCATGCCCAGTCTCACTGGCCTGGAAGGCCCCAGGTCTGAGAAGAGGCTGAGTTCCTGCAAAGGGTCTCGAGCAGCCAGGGGCCAGAGCAACAGTACAGCTGGGAGGGCGTTTGCCTTGCATGCAGCCAACCCGGCTTCGATTCTAGGCCTCCCATATGGTGCCCCGAGCTAGCCAGGAGTGATCCCTGAGCACCACCTGACCCTGAAGCCCCCTACCCTCCCTGTGCTTGCCAGGCAGTGTGGGGGTTGGCCTCATTGAAAGTACAGGCCTGGGGGTGTCACTAGCCCCAGGGCCCCGATACGCCCATTTCCCCTCTCCATTGCCCTGTGGTGACCCTGGGCTCCTGCAGCCCCCCACCTCCCTGTGCCCCCACCCTCACCATGTGCTACCACTACACAGCTCATTTCTGGCTGCTGAGGACCCTGAGACCTAGAAAGCACCTCCGCCCCCCAGTTCCAATTCAGTCTTTGTGCCTCAGTCCTGAGGGTCCCCTCAGCCTCCCTCTGCAGTCCTGAGCTTCCCCTGTCCCATCCACTGGGGGGGACCCCGTGGGGAGAGGAGGGCTCCCAAGGACTGACGATGGGCCACCCCAGGGGAATTCCGGGCACACTCTGCCCCCTGCCCCCAGGGCTTCCTTTCTTGGGCCCCAGATCTTGGGGGGGGCTGCCCCTTGGGAGTCTGCGCCACCTCCCTGGGGGGGAGGGGGGACCGCCACTCTTGCCCACTCGGCAGCTCCTGGGTCCCCAGAGTCTACAGAGAGAAAAGAAAACAGGCCAGACCAGCTCAGCCTGGCACCGGCTTCCCCCACGAGGGCCTGCCCTGCTCTAGGGGCCCCGGGGACTTTGTCTCCAAGGGCCCCCTGGGCTGCGATCCGGAACAGTGATAGGGGCTAATTGCGGGAGGCAGCCAAGGGCTGGGGGCCAAGGGCTGGCAGGAAAGGAGAGGAAAGAAAGAAGCCGGGGAGGGTGGGGGCGGGGCGGGGGCGGGGCCTGCAGCCAGACCCCCCCCTCCAACCCTGGGGGCAAAGTTCCTGTCCTGGTGACCTTGGGCAAGGCGCTGCCCCTCACTCTGTCCTGTCTGCAAAGGGGGGGGACAGGGAGGGGGCCGGCATCCGCTCTCTCCCGTGGGTGGGGGAGACTGGGCACCGCCCACTGCTCAGGTCTCAGCATCGCTCCTGACCCCTACTCAGCATGAGGGTGGCCATGGCCTGGGGCCGGGGGACAGCATCCCAGGGCCCTGGGCACAAGGGCCTTGCCCTTGACTGCTGGTGGCTGGGCCCAGCTGGGCTGTGAGCCCCTGGGAGGGCTGGGGGGAAGCCCCCTTCCCAGGGAACACGTCCCCCCTCCCAGTCCCTGCTGGAGAGGCGGGGAGGAGTGACTTCAGCTCCAGAAACGGGGATGACTGAGGCGAAGAAGCCGCCACCCTGGGCAGGAAGCTGCCTGGGACAGGGATGAGCCCCGGGCAGCTCCGCTTAGGCCCTGGGCACCGGTTTTGGGGGTGGGGGAGTCACATTCCTGGGGCTGGGGGCGGCCCCTTGGATGCCTTCCCGGGCCTCCCCCTCCCTAGCACAAAGGCTCTTTTTTGCCCCTGGCCCCTCGCTGCCAAGGGGCCCCTGGGGCGCTGGGCCGGCTGTGGGTGGAGGGGGCTGCCGGGTGTGTGACATCCCCAAGTGTCTCCAGTGAGGCTGGGACACAGGCCACAAGGGGAGGCCCAAGCAGCTTCTAAGTGTGCAGATTCCCCTAAGGTGGGGGACAGGGAAGGGCAGTGCCAGGCCCCGCCCCGGGGTGACTCCCCCCCTTAGAATACGCCTCAGGGGGCGGGGGCAAAAGGAGAAGTGATGGGAAACACAGAGCCCCTCAGTGCCCACCATAACCTGATGCCTTTCTCAGCCCCTCCTGCTGCAAAGCTGGTAGCCTCTCTCCTCCTGCAGGGGCACTGGCTTAGAGGTGACTCTGGGAGTCTGCGGGCCTCCGTCTTCCTATCCGCAAAATGGGTACAATATGGGACTGGAGAGACAGAACAGCGGGAAGGCGCTTGCCTTGCAGGCGGCTGACCCAGGCTCCATCCTCAGCACCCAATATGGTCCCATGAGCTCGTCAGGAGTGATTCCTGGGTGCTGAGCCAGGAGTTAGCCCTGAACGCTGCTGGGCGTGCCCCCCATCCCAGCAAACATGGGTCCAACAGTGCTACCTAGTGAGCTTCAGTGCTGCTCGGGCCTTGGGGGGACCTCTGTGTGCAGCAGGGGCGTCAGTCCCCAGCAATGGCCAGACCCTGCCCATGGTCGCTATCCTGTACCCCTGGGGGAAACTGAGGAAGAAGGGCGGCCCTGCTCTGTGCATGCGGGAGGATGTTGGGGCCCTCTCTGCCCCTCCTGAGCACGGCTCTCTCCTCTGTGAAACCGGGCCAGGGGCAGCGATGGGGGTCAGATATCCGGCCCCGGCTGGTCCAGGTCGGCAGGTCACAGAAGAAGGGGGCCCCTGTCAGCGGGCACCCCACTCTCAGACCGCTGCTCCCCGGCTCTGCTGCTCAGACACGTGGACCGGGTCACCTGCCTGGGCTCGCTCTGCGGGGGCAGGCTGGCCTCCCGAGCACTGGCACAGGGAATTCCTGAAAAGAATTCCAGAAAGGAGGCCACGGGGGCAGAGGCCAGGGCGCCTGTGAATGGGCTGAAAAGGCTTGAGAGGCCTCAGCCGCTCGGGTCATTGTGTGTGGATGGTGCTGGCCCTCGAGAGGGGACCGGGGCAGGGCAGGGACTGGACAAAGTTCCAGCACAGTCCTGCAGACCCCCAAGACCAATTGCAGTCTTCTTTCTATTTTTGCTGATTTTGGGCTCCAGGCTCTGTGCTCAGGATGCCGCTGGCGGTGCTCTGGGGACGACCTTGGTGCCACCTCGGGGAATGTGACCCGGTGGGCTGTGTGCAAGGCAGGTGCCTTCGCGGTTCTCTGTCCCACCGATGGCCCCTGAGCCTGGCTGTGTGTGGGTGGGGGGTGGTGGTGTTCATCCTCTGACCCTCCGTGGGTCCGTCTGCGGAATGGGGCTACTCTCCTCCCTCCAGGGGTCTGGGGGCTGCGCGGGGGCGCTGTGCCCTCTGCCTTCCTCCGGAGAGAGCGGCAGGAAGACAGCCAGAGCCTCGTCCATCCCAAAGGCCAGGTCCCTGCGCGGAGGGGGGGGCACACCGACCCATAGGCTGCGAAACCCCACCCCAGTCTTCCTCCGGGAGGGAAATAAGTAGCCGGGCTACTAAAAAAAGCCGGGGGCAGGGGGAAGGGAGGGGAGTCCCGGAGGGTCAGCTGGGGGCTGTCCCCTGCTTCTCTCTGGTGCGGGAGGGGAAGCCCTGGGGCTGGGGCTGGGGCTGGGGCTGGGGGAGCAAGTTCTGGGGCGCGGGGGGCTTCTCCGCCGCGTCCCTCGCCCGCCTCCGAGGCGCCGGTGGCGGCGGGCAGCGAAGGGGCCGGGGCGCGAGGGGCGCGGGTGGGGTGGCCGCCGGAGGGCCGGTCCCTGCCCCCAGCGGGCGGCCCGGGGTCCGGCCTTACCTGCGTCCGGGGAACGGGGCTCCGCCGACGCCCCAGGCGGCGCCGCCCCCGGGGAGCAGCAGCCCCAGGCAGAGCAGCGCCCAGGCCCGCCCGCCCATGCTGCGCCGCCGGCCGCTCGGGACGCGCCGCCGGGCCGGCCCGGGCGCCGCGAGCCGGGGGCGGGCGGGAGGCGGGGGGCGGGCGCGGGGCGGGGGCGGCCGGCCTCGCCCGGCCCCTCGGCGCGGCCCCCGCCCCCGCGGCGGCGACCCGGAAGGAGCGCGGGGGGCCGCGCGCGCCCGCCCGCCCCGGCCGCCGCCAGGTGCCACCTGGGCCCCGGCCCCCGTCGGACGCGCCTGCTCCCGGGTCGCGGACGGGGAACCGGGGCCGGGACGCGAACCTGCCTCGCCCGGGCTCGTGGTGCCAGGAGTGATGCAGCCTGGGCATCTGGCAGCGAGAGGGGGCGGGGAAGGCGCACGGGCACCGGCCGGGAGTCCCGCCTGGCGGGGCTCGGTGGGCCAGAGGGGGCGCAAGGCGAGCGCCTCCCCGCCGTGCCACCCGGGGCGCCCCGGCCCCTCCTGACACCCCCGCGCCGCAGAATTTTCCGAGGTTCGCAGGGTCTTGACTTCCGTGCGATCAGCGCCACTTTGGAGAAACTTAGGAGAAAGGGAGCCGGGATGCACGCGGCGTGAGCGCCCCGGGCTTATCACCTGGAAACACCTGGTCGGCCCAGTCGGAGTTGGAACCCAGGTTTGACCGGAGACTGGCATCTTTAGCGGGGGTGCACACGCGCCCTCCCTGCGTCTCGCTCTGGGGCCCGCTCCTGCCAGTGCTGGGGACCCAACCAAGACGACATCTGCTCTTTTGTTTTTATTTTGGGGCCATGGGGGGCGATGCTCAGGGCTTACTCCTGGCCCTGCACTTAGAGAGCACTCTTGGTGGGGCTCATGGGTCCATAGGAGGTGCCTGGACCAAACCCAGGTTGGCCACGTGCGGAGGAAGCGCCCACTGCTGGACTTGCTCTCAGTTTCGGAGGATGTTCACTCTTAAGCTTGATTAGGGGAGTGTGAGGCTAGCACTTTCATTTTTGTTTGTTTGTTTTGGGGTCACACCTGGTGGAGCTCAGGGATTACTCCTGGCTCTGCACTACGGAGTCACTCCTGGCAGGGCTCAAGGGACCATATGGCATGCCAGGGATGGAACCCAGATGGGCGACCTGCAAGGAAAGTGCCCTACCTGCTCTACTATCACTCTGGGCCAGAACTTTCTTCTTGGGGGAGAGGGGGGCAGGGAGGGACCTCACCTGTTCCAAGAGAGGTATTGGCTTAGCATGGGGTACCAGGGTGAGCTTCTGGGGAGAGGGCTGTGAATCCCCAAAGGTGGAAAGAGAGAGAGAATGAGAACGAGAGAGACTGATGAGTATATCTGTGTGATGAGCGTGTGAGAATGTGTGCGTGTGTGATGGGTGTATTTGTGTGATGAGTGTGTGTGATGAGTGTATGTGAATGTGTGTGATGAGTGTGTGTGTGATGAGTATGTGAGTGTGTGTTGTGATGAGTGTGTGTGTGGACTGTGTGTGATGAGTGTGAGTGTGTGATGAGTATGTGTGTGGAGTGTGTGTGTGCAATGAGTGTGAGTGTGTGTGATGAGTGTGCGTGTGTGTGAGTGCGATGAGTGTGTGCTATGGGTAGGGACCTCAGTTCTCATCACCAGGAGTCCAGGGCAGTCTCCCACCATTCCTGCACGAATCGCCATTCTGGGCTGGTGGGTCAGACCCAGCTTCTCACCCGCAGGGCACACTCAGCCGCTGGGCACGCCTGGCGCTGTGCTTAGGAATTCCTCCCGGCAGTTGGATCGTATCTAGCTTCAGGACTAGAACCAGGGGGTGGCTGTGTGCACGGCAAGTGCTGAGACCCTTCTCTGTACTCTCCGCAGCACCTTTACAACAGAGAGGCCTCCCTCGGGCTAGGGTGCGAGCCCGGCCGACCATCCTCCCCTCTGCCTGTGTGGCCCGTGACTCCGGGGAACCAAGGCCGGGGATATCCCCCGAGCCTGAAACCACACACAGATACAAATAAATAAAAGAATATAAATAAAAAGTCGGGGCCTCTCTTGGGATCAGGGAAATAGCTCGAAAGGTTAGTGCAACTACTCTGCTGGGGGCTCTTGGATGCTGGAAGCCGGGTTGGAGCCCCAAACCCCCTCACCCCCAGCACTGCCAGAAGTTATTCCTGAGTGCAGAGCCAGGAGGAACCCAGGAGGAACCCCTGTGCATTGCTGGTGCGACCCAAAAAGCAAAAAAATAATTTAAAAAATGTTTAAAAATGTTCTGATTAGTGGATGCTTGGACCCAAGGGTCCAACTTGGGGCGCCATAGAGGCAAGGCATGCACTCGTCCCATTTTTGCTGTCTGCCTGGTCCCAGGCACACCCCACCACCATGCTGGGGGGTGCTCCCAGTGCAGTGCTGAGGGTCCCTCCTGCAGCTGACGGACAGACTCCGGGCTGCAGAGCGTGCAGCCTGCGCCCCAGCCTCGAGCCTTCCCCCTGCCCCAGCCCTGTGCCCTCTTATAAAATCGCTCTGGTTCAAGCGCCGCTGCTTCTGGAAAAGCCTGGAAGCTTCTGGTCTGCACATAGTGGTCCTGGCGTGCACTCTCTTGGTAGCTGGCCCTCTTGCCCTTTCTGAGCAAGTTGTGGGGCACTGGAGGTCTCTGCGCTCGCTGAGGCTTGGCCACCTGGGGAGGGGACCCCAAATCAGACCGTTAGCCGCCAAGCCCAGACCACACGGCTGGCAGCAGTCGCTTCCGCTTCCGCGCTGAGCCAGTGCCAGGAGCTGCGCTAAGCACTTTGCTTCACTGTCTCCACCCCACCCCCACCCCCGCCCCCCAGGCGTGTCTGCACCAGCCCCAGGCATGGGGCTTCTCCAGGGCCACGGCTGGGAAAATAGAATATGGGCTGGTGGGTTCCCCGGGGCGGGTCCGACACAGCTCAGATCTGGGCTCCCGTCTGGCAGCTGATGAGGCCAGAGCAGACACATGGGTCACACACATTGGGACCACACAGGCCTGGGGACCCCCCCCCGCCCCCGGAGTACCATGCACACTGCAGAGCAGCCGAGGGGGCTGGGAAACAGCCCTCTGGAGTGGACACGGACGCCACCCCTCAGCCCCCGCCCGCCCTTGGCCTAGTCCAAACAGGAAATGCTGTCCTCCTGAGAGCAAACAAACATGGGTCACAGCCCCCCTTCCCTCTGAGCCCCCCCTCCACTGGGGTCTGTGCCAAGGGCCTCTTCCCTCCCCCCAGGCCTGTGGGACTGCCTCACCCATCAAATCAAACCTGGACCCCATCTGATTTGTGCCGTGGGGGGGAGGAGGGGCTTCCTCTGCCACTGAGACATCAGCTCCATCCCCAAGGGCCCCGGTGGCTGGGGAGGGGGTGTCTGGAGAAGGGGGCGGGGTGGGGCCTCCCAGCCCCCTCCGCACTTCCAGGGTGGGGATCAGGCGGCTGTCCAGGGCTTTGTCTGCATCCCCCTGGCCCTGCTGGCCTGCAGCCTCAGGCACCCCCCGGGCCTGGGCGGGGGTGCTCAGGGCCCTGGAGAGCCCAGTTATTTCCGCCCCAGGGGCTGCCCTTGTCACCCAGCTCATTCCTGCCTTGGGAGGAAGGATGCTGTCGGGAACCCATAAATAAGGCTCGCAGAGCGGCGCCTTCTGCAGGAATCCTCAGGACTGGGGGGATGGGGGTGGCAGGGCGGGCGCCAACGAGTGAGGCAGGAAGGGAGAGAGGGATTCGGTACCCGGACCAGACCTAGGCGTTCGGGGGGACCTAGAGCAAGCCCTGTCTTCGCTGCTCCCATCTCCTGACGCGGTGATCGGGGCCTTCCTCTGTGCGTTGGGGATGGCAGAGGGATGGGCAAAGGGCGCCCTTCTCCCCGGACCCTGACCCAGTTCTTTTTCTCTGGTACCTTCCCCCAAATCTCCTTTCTATTTCCCTCCCACCTGCTTACTTGGGGGTCTTTTGGTCTGCTTCTCCTTGCACACCTCTTGCAGAATTGGACCAGCCAGGGCCCCCTTAGGAAGCTTCTCTCCAGTTGGGTGGGTGGGGTTAGAGGGAGAAGTCCCTGGCTTGTTCATACTAGAGTGTTCATGACTGATACACGGAGTGGTGGTGTTACATGTTTGCGGGGGCAGTCAACAGGAGTCCTACTTCAGTTCAGCCTTGAGTACTGGGACTGGAACTCTGAGGCTGGTAGGGGGCTGCTTCAGGTGGAGGCTGGGCTGTGGGTCTGCAGGGTGAGTGGGGTTTTCTGCAGAGGTCCCCGGCTCCTAGTCCGCCCCCTGCTGGATGCATCTGGGAACCCGCGAGTCCTCCCGGTGAGACCAAGGCAGGGAGAGGAGTCCCTCAGGGCGCACTCTGCAGCCAAGCCATGTTCCTGCCTGTCCCAAGAGGTCACCCTATGTGAATGAACAGTGTAGAACCTCTGAGAAAGAGATTTCGAGGTTCAGAGTGAGTGTGAGAAAGGATGAAGAGAGACAAAAGTGGAAACAAAAGGGCCAGAGTGATAGTACAGTGGGGAGGGTGTTTGCCCTACCTGCCGCCCATCCGGGTTTGATCCACGGCACCCCAGATAGTCCTCTGAGTTCCCCAGGACTAGTTCCTGAGTACAGAGCCAGGAGAAAGCCCCGAGATCGCTGGGTGTGGCCCCAAAGCAAAATAAAAAAGATACTCAGAGATACTCAGGGCTGAAGCAATAGCACAGCGGTAGGGCGTTTGCCTTGCACGCAGCCAGCCCGGGTTCAATTCCTCCACCCCTCTCGGAGAGCCCAGCAAGCTACCGAGAGTATCTTACCCGCACGGCAAAACCTGGCAAGTTCCTCGTGATGTGTTCGATATGCCAAAACACAGTAACAGCAAGTCTCAAAATGGAGACGTTACTGGGCCCGCGGGAGGACAGTGACAGTGACTCAGAGATAAGAGGAAACAAGCAGGGCTGGAGTGCTAGTATAGCCAGTAGGCATTTGCCTTGCATGCAGGCTGACCTGGGTTCAATCCCCGGCATCCTATATGGTCCTCCAAGCACCACCAGGAGTAATTCCTGAGTGCAGAACCAGGAGGAACCCCTGTGACCCAAAAAGCAAAAAAAAAAAACCCACAAACACAAAAACAAAAACC